ACAAAAACATACCTTCCTCTCCATAGAAGATATCCAGTCCTGGATCAGAGATGAGTTTACAAAGAAAATCTCCAACAATCTGTGGTTACCTTCTAGGAAATCCAGATGAATAAGTCACTAATAAAACAGTTATTTCAAACTAAAAACTCTTTATTTTGAGGATCCATATTTAACGGCAAAAATAGTGTCCAACACACAGTCTCTGGTGGAGAAGTGGGTGAAGGGTAATAAATTCAGGAACACGGAAATTTTGGATGAAACTGACTTAGACGAGATCAAATTCAGATTGCATGTTGACGATCATTCTCCTCCATCTTAGAGATCAATTTTATCCATTAATCAATAAGTGAGAACCGGAAGCCAAGGTGTTAGCAGCAATACCGACAGTTGAAGCACACTCCCGGATTTGGGATTCTTGATAAGAAAGCATCCATCGCAAACAGTTTTCTCAAAATTGAAGATAACGTTTATGTTTTTATGAATAAGATTTTTATGATCTGCTATCAAAAATTCGGAAATTTTATTGGAAGGCATATTGAAGCTACTATATTAGCAAAAAGGCAGTCAGTGGAATTTTTATATGGCCGAAGAAAAGGTTCATCTCATAAATGAGAAACTACACAAAAAAATGGCGAAGGAGACGCCATCCTCACCTCCTAACGAGGACAGGATATCAAAAAATAAAACACGCAACAGCGCGACGTGGAGTATGATACTCTCGAATTTCGAATGCAATCGTCATCTTTCGCGCGCTCTTTTTATAAGAGACAAAAACTTAATGGTTGAAGTTGTAGTACATGTTGTGCAAGTTAAAGTTAAATTATCTAAAAATTACGAGTTGAGACGAAAAATTGATTATACGTTAAAAGTTACGGTTGAGAAACACAACATACACGCGGAGATGAAAGATGCCGACAACCAGTGCGAATTCTCAGAAACGAAAAGGGTGGAATGTTCTAGAAAAAAAAGGGGTTCTGCAAGGAGCTGGTAAGGAATTTTAGGGGGAGAATGTCCAAATTGCGCTAACGCTAAAAGGGGCTAAAGAAAGATGATGAAATAAAACAATGTATTATAAAAATTATAAATTAAGTCGAAAGAATTAGTATTTTGATTAACAAAACAGGATATTTAGAAATTAGGTTGTGACTTAATGTCACAGCAGTAATATTGTCCATGTTAATAAATCAACCAGTAAGTTACTTATCTCTCTTTCAGCAATTTGTACAATATATACTTCATACATTGTCTCAAATTTTAAATTCGAATGATTGCTTATCAATGTTATGGATTCGTTGTGATTCTGTCATAAATTCAGGTCGTTTTCCGATCCTCTCTGTCTTCAATTATTAGTTTATAATTTTTTCACATCGTTTTTGAAATGCCACATTTTAAATACAATACTATTACAATTTGCAAATTTCGGATCTAGTATTAGGTTTATAATTTTTTTTCAAAAGGTGTTTACAATTTCTAAAATAAAATTTATTGTAAATATGTTGAAGTTTGTTGTCTAATACTTTTGATATTTGGCTAATTTGCTGGCTAAAAATTTGAAGTTTTTAGCATGGGCCCTAATAATATTGCAATTGTGTTCTTAATTTAAATTGACCTGTTTGTTTTCCATCTGTTTACTGTTATAATACTTTTAAAATTTCTTTTAGGAAAAAGAAAGTTGGAATATGACATCTGAGGAAAAGTTAGAACAGTCTGAAATAGTGAAAAATAAAGGAACAAATTATTTTAAGGTTTGCTACTATTCTTTAGCTTTATTAAATTTTTATATAAAATTATTTTTGAGTTAAATTATGTTGAAGAAAGTTGATAGGCTAATATTTTTTTCCCCTTTTAGGCTGGTAAATATGAGATGGCAACAAAACAGTATGATAAAATAATTTCATACCTTCAGCATGAATCAGAATTAGAAGGTGAACAGTTACAAAAGAAAAATTCGTTACTTGTTGCTGGTTATCTTAATCTTGCTGCTTGTTACTTAAAACTGGAAAACCATTCTAAAGTCAAAGAAAACTGTGAAAAAGCTTTAGAATTGGATTCAAAGAATGAAAAGGGTCATTTTAGAATAGGCCAGGTAAGATTCATCATATAAATACAGTACAGAACCCGTTATCCGGAAATCAGAAAACCAAAACCGGAATGAAATACGATAAATTTCCCGCCTTTTTTTTAAAGAATATTTTTTTTCCTCATGAGATTTTAGGATTTTTCTTTCTTTTTTGAAAGATGTTTACCTTACCATCATTTTTGAAATAATCATTAGTGTATTGCTTCATCGTTTTTTCTTCTTTTTAAGATTTCCAAAAAAAAAATTTTCAGTTGAGTTTAACAATAAAAAAAACTGCTTTTTGCAGCGATTCAGAAAACCGTAAAAATCAGTTATCCGGAATAGCGATGGTCCCGATTGTTCCGGATAATCGGTTCCTACTGTACTTCCTTTATGTGATTAGGAGTTTAATGTACATACTATCAACAAGTTTAATGTTGTGTCCGATAACTATAAAATTCCCTAAATGCCTTAGCAAATCAGGTTAACAAATGACTTAAAACTAAAATATTAATAAATGATTTATGTCTCATTCTTTTGTTAATTATAAATCTTCTCACCTTATTTTATTGAATTATTATGAAAAGAATGCTAGTAACTTTTAACCAAATGAGCTTTATAATTTGTTATAAATTATCATCTGACCATAATAAGGCCATAAAATTTTAAAGAAACTAAAATGGAGGAACTATATTTTACTTAGTGTGCTAAAAACTGACCATGCAAAATGGGGTAGTAAATAAAGTTACCTTACTTTTCCCGTAAATCACATTTCTCGTGGCAGAATCGCAGCAACACGGCGACATTGTCACAGAGCGTTAGAGTTCTTGTTGAAAGGTTTTTCTTTTGAAAAGTTAAAAAACTTACTTTCCTTTTCTACAGAAATTTACACGTAATATTTGAATCATGCATTTAGATCACTTTTTGACGCGCTCAATTTTCACCATTAGTGTCGTAAATCAGTGTAATGATTCAATTGTATTTTCAGCAGTTGATATTGATTTTCATGAATTCTTTAATATCCCGTTGTATTTCAAACAATAAGGAAAAATTCGAATCATGCATTTGAGTATTTACTTTTTATGACCGTAATTCTATCAAATTTTTGGCAGTTATTGCTATTGATTTCTCCATAGTTTTTAATACCGATATTTTTTTATACAATATTTGGAACAACAATCTAATCTCGAAACGAAACGCATGTTTGAGATTTCGTCGTTGATTTTTTCTCGGCAATTACTACTACGGATTTCATTACTTTTTGTTATTATTTTTCATTGTGATGATTATTTACAAAATTTTATAATTTGGAGAAACGCACAAATAATTTGTGCTACCCCCACCGAACAAAATGCGAGAATATCACCCACAATATTAGAATAAAAGATTATTTAATGTTCAATGGAAAAAACCACATAGTTTTTTGTAAACACAGCATATTTATTTTTAAACTAGTAACATATATGTTTGATATTATTAAAATTATCTTGCAGAAAGACATTAGTGCTAGAGAGTTTAGTCGCAGATAGCTCAAAAAAATTCTGCTATAGGGATCACATTAGTATATTTGTGGAAGTAACATTTTGTGAATTAAGCTGCAGTTTCTTGCCAAGTACAATTATTTTGTTTAACAAAAAAAAAAAGGGTTTTTTTTTTTTTTTTTTTTTTTGCCCCCACCAGTGATNTGATTATTGCAGTGTTTTCATTACAGAAAAAAAATGGGAGAGAATTTCTCACCCTTTCTCAAAAACAGGGTGAGATTTCAAAAAGTTAAGTGAGATTTCTAAAAATTAAAAAAACACGAATAGACTTGGAAAAAAAATTATTTCTTTAATTATAATACATTTTTCACAGCTTCTAATTGAGTATTTTTGCTGCATCATCATATGGAAAATGTTCTATATCTACTTTTTCATCGGCTATTATACTTATTTGGCTGAAAAATATCCGTATTTGTTTCGTTTTGACCGCTTCTACCGACATTTGTTTCATTTCCAATTGTCCGTTACGGAGTAGAAGATGTCGCCTTAACAAGGTACTTGTCCATCTTACATTCATGCACAAAAAATGCAAACGTCTTACATGAAGAAACCTTACCTACGGTGAACACGTGGTTGCAGAGAAATGAGTTCTGAAAGGGATTCCGTGGTTCGGGGGGGTGTTCTGCTGTTCACACCGGTTCTGAACAATACTTATAAATAGGGAAGCTAGATAACAAGGACCGATGTTCAAAATAATGAAAGATCAGGGAAGAAAAGTGAAACGGATTTTATTCAAAATTGCAAAAGACGAAATTTTTTCCAAAATTCGTGCATTTTGAAATTGATTAATAGAGTGCGCGAACTTCTCGCGTTAATCATTTTTTAGTGCGAGAAAGGAAAAAAATATGCGAGATTCTCGCGCTGTAGTGAAAACACTGTAACAACAGTTACAAGAAATTGTAATTTAATTTTTTTTTCCTTTTAGGCTCATCTGGCTTTAAATGATTTTGAATTAGCCAAAGATAGTTTTGAAAAAGCGTTAGAAAGTGATCCATCAAATAAGGCAGCCCAAAAAAGTATTTTGATTTGTAAAGAACGTATTAGAAAACAGCTGCAGAAGGAAAAGCAAATGTATCAAACTATGTTCAAAAAGATGGCACAAGAAAAGGTAATTTTTATATTTATAAATTTTAACTTCCATAATCATTCAATATCTCTGTATTATATTAATTTGAAGAATTTTTTTTTTTTTGTAATTGAATAAAATTTAAAAGCTGATAAGTAATTTTGCATTACTTACCACCATTCACAGTACACTAAAAATTGTATGTCCTTAAATGTTGTGGAATCAGTTCGAGTAACTTTAATAGAGACAATTAATGCAACAAGACGGTATGTTTTTTTGGTTAGAAGTTCAATAAGTAATTTTTTTTTTAACAGTTTCAAACTGGCAGGATCTGACAGTGCTCTAAAATCCAATTTTTCAGTGTCTCTAAGGACATTATATACATCTTAGTGATAATTGTGATAATTAGTTATGCGTGCTAAATGGCTGATAAGTAATTGTCTTTTGCATTGTGACACCTCTCTCTACTTTGTGAGATGTTTTTACCTCGATTCACTCAATTATTAAATCACTCTTAATGATGACAAGGAATTTTTTCATATATATTTTAATTTAGAATTCTAGATTATCTAAAATTTACAATTATATATCAACTAGTACCTAAGCTATATAACTCTGGAGCTCTATTGCTCCCTACTCCCTAACTGCATCCGGTCTCTCTGGTCTCCCCATTCAATCTCTCTTAAAAATATCCTTCACTTAGTCCACCCCCACTGTAGGGGAAGACACTTCCTGTGACCCTCTGGTCAGGGGTCTGTCAAATGCGTGGGAGAGGAATTAGAATCCTGACATGCGTAAAGAGTATTTTTCCTTTTGAATTGAAAAGCAGTTACCTGCTGGAAACTTGTAATTAAAAAATTGGTAATTTTTATCACATGTTTAATTAATGAATTAAAAGGAAGTCTGTTTATATGAAATTGAAAGATTATTTTGCATAAAATCAGAATTCACTGTGACAAATGTGTAATTGGAGTTGTCTGTTTGGCTTTAAGTCTGAAATAAAAATTCAGACAACGTAACAATAGCTCTTTTTGTTCTGAGAAGGCACGGCCATCAATGTTGACTTACAATTATCATACATCTGTTTTGTTATTGCTCTTTTAATGCTATAACAAAATGGAGGTTAATATCTTATTTGTATTTAGTTCAAAGGACATTTTTAATGAATTGTTTTTAATTTTATAGGATCTAGAAGAAGAGCCTTCAAAAACATCAAACCCTGAAAACGGTTTGGCTGAAAAGATAGAGAGTGAAGAAACAGTACAAGTTTAGATGTTGTATAGGATAACTGATCCATTTATCATTCATTGTAATAATAGTCATGTATATTTGTTTTGTAACAGTTTTTTTATTATAAAATAAACTCTTACACATAAGCAATTTGTTTATATGATTTAATAGAAAAACTTCAGTCTAACTTGAACTTTTTCAAAATGTTTTGAGCAGCTCTTTTCATTATAGTTTGATTCGCTTTCACAATATCACTGTACATTTTCAGTTGTTGTTCAGATAACTGAAAAAAAGACAAGTTATTTCATTAAGTTCATATAAATTTAGGTATTATAATAAATATTGTACACAATGTTATTATATAGAGGTTTCATTAATAGTAAAGTTTAATTGCACATAAGCAAATGATAAACCCTTCTGTCAAACTTATTTTGTGCATTAAGAAGCTTAGAAAGAGTACTTAAATTTAACAAGTGAAGAATTCAGTTTTTACTTGACCAACTTAAAAGCATTAGAATGATAAGCAATCATGAATTAACAAAATCATGAATTTCAAAAGTAAATTCTAATATCGTTGATATACTAATTTATTGCAAGTCAAATTTAATTAGAGAAACTAGTGCTCGACAAATTCGCTCGTCAGAAAATCAATTCCTTTAATTATATCGCTTATCCCATTTTTTTTAACTGATAACATAAGAAAATACTTTTTTAACATAGCAAAAACAAGAAATTTTTGGAAATAATTAGTAACCGGAAGCAAAACAGTTTTCACAAATTTTTATGTGTATAATAATACAACTAGTATTAGTTAAATGTATACTACAAGCTTAGGAATGTTAAAAGCTTTACTGACTGTTCTGGTAACATTTTCTTATACCTAAAGACAATATATATACAAGGTTAAGTGAAATTTTAAGTAATACTCAGTAACAGCACAAAGTAAAAGATAGATTTTTAAGTTTTAAATATCGGCTTATATTAGAAAATAAAAAATTAAAGTAACTTTTATATTTTCTGGGGGGGGGGGAATTATTGATTTTGTAATTAAATGAAGCTTTTCTCTACTTTATTCCATAAAATGAAAACTACTTTATTTGAGACGTTATTCATATATAATTTCTAAATACAAAACAAAGGTTTTAAGAGGAATGAGAAACATACTAGTTGCTCATTTGGAACTCCAAATTAGCAGCTCAAAAGGAAAACTACTGCCAAAGAGAGCGGTCCTAACAACCTGATACTATTAGTATGATGTTGCTAGTCAAAACCAATTTGCAACTTAATCGAACTTTTGTCTCTAAAGAATTGCATGAGGCTCGCAAGACATGATTTTCCAACACTGACTTAAATTACAAAAAGTTCTTAGTCTTTTTATCATTTTAGAATAAAAAATCTTGAACTAGGGCAATGCTAAATTTTCTTTTATTAAAGAATTTTTTAATTACATTTTTTTTTAAATTTTTGTTTCTCAAATTTTAAAATCTGTTTAAATTTTAAAATTGATAAAAGAAAAAACTTAAGAAATGACTGGCACTATATTGCATAAACTACAAATTAAATTCTGAAATGACAAGTTTTTTTTTTTTTTTTTTAGTGAAAAAAACCGTTCCAGAATAAATATGTTACTTTTAACCCAAGTGGAAGAAACTTTTTCAAAAAATAATTTTTTTCAATATATCATTTTTTAATAAGTTAAAACCAGGTATCCAGACTCGACTACAATATGGATACCTGGACATAGTTTTTAGAATCAACATCCAGAACCTGGGAACACTCGTTTATGTTCGAAACAATCGTATTCAGATTTAGAGTAGCCTTAAAGCTATTCATAAAAATAACTAGTTCTGAAAATCTGTGTATTCTATCATTTTCTTAATAACCAAATAGAATTAACTAGTTTAAAACACGACATATTTTACTCTAGTACAGGGAAACCTTCAAAAAGTGTAAATATTTGGGACAAAGAAATAAGTTAGCTAAAGAAAGGTTTCATCTTAGGTGTATGACATGCAAATTCAGAAATCTAATGCTGAAAACTATTTTAACATGCTAGTTAAATTAAATACAAAATTAGTAACTTGGAATTACATTGATATATATTTTAAGTTAATGAAATCATGATTACCTTATATCCCGATGTATAAGTCAACGTTGATAACTCCCAAAATGTACAAAAATTAATTGATGGTCTTATACACCGGTAATCAGGTTTGACTAGCAATGATTGTGAAATATCGATGAATTGTAACGTTGATAACTCCCAAAATGTACAAAAATTAATTGATTGTCTTATACACCGGTAATCAGGTTTGACTAGCAGTGATTGTGAAATATCGATGAATTGTAAGCAATCTGATAGATATGAATAACTCTGTATCAATTTACCCTTTTCAAAAACTATTTTTTATTTGTTATATACTTTTAATTTAGCATTTTCTCTTATATTTTCTTTACTTATAAAGATTTTTTATTACATTAAAGGTTTATTCACAAAGGTGGCAGGAGAATAAATGATTCGTGAAATAGCTTAACGATATTTATAGTTCGGAATACGGCAAAAAAATTTACATGCTTTATAAAAAGTAGAAAAATTTTCTTGGAATGTAAAACACAAATAGTTTTTTTTTTTTTCAAATTTACAAAACTAAATTTAAGAGATTAAAAAAAAAACTTTTTGGGGCATAAATTACAGTCCACCTTTGGTCATGAGAGTGTCTGCTTTGCGGAGAAGGTATATCATAGTTTATACATAGAATATTCATGGGAAATTAAAAATCTATGTCCATGATGAGAATGGGGTTTTGTAGGCGTGTTCGTAATGTGAGGTTTCACTGTATAAATAATTTTTTTTCTCCAATTTTTCATTATTTTCAATATTTTCTTTCAATTTATGGAATGTGCAAAGAACAATTAAAATTCTTGCATGATCTGCGAGTTTTTCAAATAAAAGTATGATTTTTCTAAAAAATAAATCGTAAATTTTGCTTTTTAATCTTTGCAAACTGCAACAAGCATGAAATAGTTATCTTTAAAAACAAAATCAAGTGAACATATTAATTAAAATTAATTTAATCTTTAAGGTCAGATGACACCCAAATATAACATATAAACTTAAAACAAAATAATTGACTGCTGTCAGCTAATTTGTCATCAACTGAATAACAAAAATTAATCACACGCATTAAAGATTCAAAACAATAATTCTACCTCAGATCCATATATAGACAAAATGCTGGTTAAAACTTTGGTAAATTTCATATTGGAGGAATATGTGGGAGCCCAACTTTCCATCCTATGAGCTAAGATATTGTGCAAACTGCAATTGTATGGTATCTGAAATTATTAATATATTTGTAAATCAATCATTTAATTTCCAAAATACAGCCTCTAAAGCTATATTATTAGGCGTTCTATTTTAACAAAATGATTAAAATCTTACACGAAACTTTTTTGCTATAAGCAAAGATAAATTTTTGTTTACACAAAAATTAAATTAAACTGAAATAACTGAATTAAGTTTTGAAATAAGTTTTACTTTATCACATTTAGTAAGTATTTGTCATTCTACAATTTTAGTGCTGATTGGCAGATAAAATATGCAGTATTATTAAGATATAATAACAAAATTTTTTTACTTATGGTGATGTCATAAAAGGGTTATGCTTAGATCCTTCATATTGGGAACTGTGCATACCCCGATAAATGAGAATAATTATAAATAATGAAAGTTTAATAAACTTTAACATAATTACCTTCTTTTCTATAAGAGTTTGTAGAACCAAAAATGTATTTTCAGGGACTAAATCTTCATTGACAATTTTCCTAAATTATTAAAAAGATAATATTATTACAAATCTTAAACTAATTAGTATTTTGAGAAAAGATAATAATTACAAAAACAAAAAACATAGATGTGAATTTAGATTAAACATTACTCCTGTATGGACTATAGTTTAATCATTACATAAAACATGTTGAAATTTTTAATTGACTTATAAATAAATTTATAATTTTATTGTTCATAATACGAGTCATGTCATTATAATTTATCCAGATTCTCTTGAAAATGACTTCCACTCTCTGGAATTTCAATGAAATTCTGGAAATTTATAAAATTTTTAACAGTGAATTAAAAAAGAATTCATTAAAGATAGGTCACGCCTTTAGGAAGTTATGAGAACAGAAAAACCTCGCTCATCCAACACCTGCGAGACCATGAGTCTGCTGAAAAAATTAAATGTTGGATCATCAGAGGATCCTTTTAATAACTATTAAACTAGTCAAAATAATTGCCGACTAATATAAAAATTAATTAAAAATCCTAACTTGTGTTTTATTTTTCAATTTTAAATAATGATACAATATCACGAAGAGAAAAAAATCATTGATAATATTTTATTTTCTATTTAATAGAGATGTCCAAACCAGAGGCTAAACTTGACTGTTGTCAGTATTAATGTGGTAGTTAATGGCAATGAGTTATCTATACTTTTAAATGAAATGTATACCGAATGGTTACTACTGGTTACTGATTGATAATTTTTTAGCAGGCAGCTAAATACAGTAACATCAGCTTAAACATCTTAATCGTCGTTTTCTACGAAACAAATTACAAATCATCGTCAAAGCAGTAATTGTATTTAACTGGATTGAATGGATGACACAAAATAAAACAAAAATTAATAAATAATTCGGTAATATCAGCTGTAATAATAAGTCAGGTCAGAATGGTTTTAATACAAGTCAAAAGAGGAATCTGATAACCGAAGGTTCGGACTATTGAGCAACAAGCAATCAGGGTTCTACAATATTGGGCATCTAAAAAATTTATCAAACAAACAAAATTTAAATACTTTTTGGTTAATCTAAAATTTAATATAAATCTATTATCTTGTTTTCTGTCTATCTCGTCTCAAATATGCTTTCTTGTCTTACAATATCTTTCCTTTTTTTTTTTCAACACAACAAAAGTGAAACTTTGATAACTAGATTCTCAAATACAAAGATTTTCATTTCATTACAAATATGCACAGTGATATTTGATCAAGGGTGCCCACAGAGCATACCAAGGGGGGCAAGGTGCCATAGCTATTGTTAGGGGGATTTTTTTTTCTTCAAAATACTTTATACCATTTTATTGCTTCAAAACTGTATATTAAACTGAGGGATATTTTTTTATAATTTAAATAGACATTTTTTTAATACTTAAGAGAATAATTTTTAAAAACTATTGTGGTGGTGGACATTTTTCCAGCCAAGTTAGTTATATCAAAGTACAACTATACAATTACATAAAGTCACAAATAAGAGAAGCACATTTACAAATAATGTTTTAGTTTGAGAGGAATGGGAAATTTTAGGGGGGAGAGGAGTGGTTTAGATTTCAAGGTGGGAGATACTTTCTAATATTGAAGAATAAAAAGATTTTCCCAAATATTATGTAGAGAGAGTGTTAGAATCTAAACAGAGAGACTGTCTGGATTTTGAAAAGTTTTATATAGTCACTTCACTTAATCAATCAAAACTCTTATTTCCCGAATTTGTTGGGATTTTATCAATTATTCACAACATTAACTGCCACTAATTGTTCTGTGGAAAAAGACACAAAGCCAGAGGTGATTGTGACACCACATGAAAAATCCCTTAAAATTTTTTGTGTAACAACTCGATAACAAGATATTATTTTATATATTATTCATATTTAATAAAATTATTTGAACTAAGGTTTATTATTAAATTACCCACCAATGTAGAATATCACAACTTTATAGTAACTGGTTTAAGAAAAAACTTAGTTCTTACAAGAATCGCGATGTTGGATTTTAAAATCATGTGAATATGAATCGCGATACTGGATTTTAAATGACGTAAATTTCAGATCGTGTGAACAGGATTAGCAATGTGTAGCTTTTAAATCATGTAAATTTTCAAATTGATGTTTGATAATAAAACTGCATGAGTATGATTCGCAATATTAGCGATTTCCGGCATAGTTTCAAATACTTATTAAAAAAGGGGGAAATCCGACAAACAGTAAAAAAATTAAATTGGTGTATGAAAACATCTCATCAAAGCGATTTGGCAGAAGTTTCAAAATTAAAATTTTAGATTGCAGAACTCTTAATTGTTACTTTAAATCTTAATTCTTACTTTAAATTTTAGCTTGTGATGAAAATTTCGTCAGATTATTAAGTTTTGATTCGCAAAAGTCTGTGAATCAATGGTTTTGAGAATGGTCTCACCAGAATTCTGCGAAAAAATTACAAGCCCTGCTTTTAGTTTCTAGACCAAGAAGGATGATACAGAATACCGGGGTACCCCGGAATAAAATCACCCCAGTTAAGCTAAGCTAAACCTAAGAAAATATAGTCTATAGTATAGACTCTATACCATGCTTTCATTTAGGTAAACAGAAAAAAAAGCACTGAAAAAACTGCCCCAGAAAAAAAAAAGAAAAATATAGCATCAGAAAAAAAGCAACACAAAATTGAATTTAAATCATATTTTTGAGTCTATATCATAATTAGTTTTCACGTTTATACTTTTACATTTTTTTTGCATTTTATAAATTTTAAAGTTGAACTTTCATTTATTGCTTTTATTTCAGACACTTATATAAATTTTAAAAATTTTCAATTACCAACTAATAATTACATGTATCAAATTGTGATATGATAATCCTACAAATATAATTATTTTTAAACTAGTGATTTTTTTTTTAATTCTACATAATTTAATTAAATATCTCCTCATTCTTGTAAATATTTTTAACATATCATAAGATTAACACCCTGAGAGAGTATTGCTAATTTTAAATTAGTGACAATTAAAAAGTTAAACAAATTCAAAAGTGTACATGGATATACAGATCTTATAATGCAACAGATATACAGATCAATATATAGATATACAGATATAGATATATAGATATACAGATCAACAAATATACAGATCTTCTCTGTTATAATGCAACATAGATAAACAAAAACAAAAAGAAATTTTAAGGTAGTAACTTGTTTAATTTTTTTCTACAAAATTATGGACGATGTATATAAATCATAAAAAAAAATCTAGGTGAATAGAAAAAAAACACTACTTGACCATTTTCACCAACTCTGAGTAATCTAGTAATAACCCTCAATACAAAAGGTATACAAAAATTGATTGAAAAAAAAAACTAGATTTCCAGGAAAAAGAAAATAAGTATTACTAAGCGAATATCTAAATTTCTTATTGCAACAATTGCCGGTATCACTGAGTGAATTACCCTTATCTCTTATGTTTAAAATGCATTAGTAAATAATATTTCGAAAAAGAAACATGAAAATATTACTGAATAAAGTAAGTGACATGTTCATCAGACAGGTTACTTTTAACCACTTTAAGCAATATTTCTTGAAGTGATGTTTCTGAAAAAGAAAATTATATTTAAGACCATACATATATATTACGGGGACCGGAAAGTAATGTCATTTCGGTGCATTTGATATTGGTCATCAAGATTTTACTTGTAATTAATAAGGTATTCACCCTCGTTAGCAACAACCTTTCAATGCCGGATCGAAAAGGAATTGAAAAAAAAATTTTTGGTTTTTAAAACTAACAAATAGTTAATGCGTCTAAATGGCATTACTTTCCAGTTCCCCTAATATATATATGAAATACGATACAATACACATACAATATATACATAAAATACAATACAATGAAAAGTATAAACTATATATATATATATATGTACCTAATACTTTTCATTGTTTAAAAAATTTATATATTATATTATAAAACAAATTATCTTTGTTTTGTGACAAAAAAAAAATAAGTATGAAGCAAAATTAATGGTACAATCCAGATACTATACATTTCATCTGTTATAAAGCAGTAAAAATAAATCCCAAAAATATTTTACAAGTGCTACAAAATTCAAAATTTTATTTATAAATAATCTTATAAAATAAATGGTTCTCCTAAACTTTTTACCTTGACTGTATATCTATATTTCTTTCTGCCTACTTTCAAACATATTAGGAAACTAACTTTGCACATTTTGAATTATCCATTTGTATTATACAAATATATGACAAAAAAATTTAATGACAAAAAAAATTATTATGCAGTAAAGAAAGTTAGGATGAGTGTGCCACAAAAGTTAACATATACTTGGAATTATCAATAAATTTCAAACTAGTTCAGATCTTTTCACAATTACTTTAGCGTAAGTGAAATAAATGGAAAACAGAAGATTTGAGGTACAATAAAAGCCATCTAGCTAAAACTTAAAACAATTAAAAAATAAAATTTGAATTTTACCTGCCACATGTTTATACACAAAAGTAGGTAAATGTAGATTTTAAATAAATTTGACCAAATCAGGTCGTACTACTTCTAGTTGTAATTATGAATTATTGGGGATTATTTTTAAATTTTATTCACAAAATTAAAACAGTTCAGGTAAGAAGAAATTTTTTAATTTAGGCAATTAAAATTTGAAAATAAGTCTATTTCAGAAATCTTAATTTTAAAATATTAGTTAAAGGAAGATTTAAGTATAATTTTTGTCCATACTCTGAATTTTAAGCCGAAATTCCGACACGAAAAACTTCTAAAGTTAGCTCTGTGAGAAAGTAGAAAAATTAAAGAAATCAGCTACAAACCAATATTGTTCAATAAATAACATCAAGAATCAAATGAGTCATATTGTTTGAAAAGAAACCATTCATGAACAACAGTAAACCAGATACATCAAAAGAAACAAGGGCATTAATTCCTCATTTTAAATCATGTCATAAACCAGCAAGACCAAATCGGGATCACAAGAGCTTGTCACACAGATATGGAAGGATTTATGTGCAGCTCTGGAAGGGATAAAAGTGAAAATTATCAACAATAGTCCAGGCAACACTAGTTATTGGCATGACTTCACAAAGAGCCAATGCAATCTATTTAGCTGGGAATATTGTAGAGCTCTGCTTATGCTGTGGGATTATTTTGGATACAATAGCCAAATCAGTTTTATATTGAATGGTTGTCGAACCTCAGTTGACTACCAAGGTACTGTAGAAACCATTTACTAACTTTCAGATACATAATATTCGGGCTGCAATGAATTCTTTAGCAAAACAATGTCAGTATACATATATTTTCAACTACACAATAAAGGCTTATCGACGAAAATAAAAGTTTTTTACTGGCTCCTGCTTAGTTGTGGCATGCCTCTAACTTACAACCTATCCTCTTTGTGTCAGCTGACACATAAGGCCTTAATTCTCTTTTTTCAAACACCTTTGTTCTGAGTCAAACACCTTTGTTCTCATGCCTTCTACCATCCATTTAGTTTTGCTTTGCACAGAGCTTGGTACACATATCTTTGCCAAGTAGGTTTCGGCCCTCCCCGTTAACGTTTTCCATCGTGTGTCCAAGTAAGTGCGAGGTTATCAGGGCAATCCCGTTGTAAACAAGAAATATGTTCAGTCTATATCCATCTTCTTTTCAAAATATCCTCAGGAATGGATGATAATTTTGCCTTTATTAGTAGATCTTTACTTGAAATAGTGATAGGCCAGAAATTTTTTAAATTTATTCTTAAGCATTTGTTCTGGAATGTTTCTAGTCTTTCTATTTCAGTTTTGCGAGGTTCTAACAGGCAGTACCATACAAAAGTATGAAGTGAACATTAGTTTTAAAAACATAACAAAAACCCATAAAATATGCAGGGACATAATTTTGTATGCTCTATGAGGAAAATGAAAATTAGCCTATATGGAAATGGAAAGAGCTCATCAATTGGAACAGAAAAAAAAATCATTACAATAGCATAATTTAATATTAATACAGAAAATATGCAAACTCTAGGCATTTCAATGGAAAAAGGATTTCCATGTCAAATATCAAAATTATGTTCTTCTTATTATTATTTTCTTTGAATAAATATTGACATCTATCCTTGATTTTTGCAGCAGTTAAAATTCGTAAAATGTGAATTTTCTTTTTTTTTTCTTCTGCAGACCCGTATAATGTACACAAGAGAGCGAACGTCGCTTGCAGAAAACTTGTCCCCATCATGAAAATATTTTAATTATTGCTAATTAAGGAAAAATTAATCCACCTCTTCAAAGAAAGTTTGTATTTTTCTAATTCCCGAGAAGAAGAAAAAAACGTATTTACGCCTTTTCCTACCTATGCCATGATTTAAAACTACATTCACAAGAGTTAAAATCATACATCGTGGTTCCTAATCACGTGATTTAAGTTCTCGCCTCGTATTTCGTATTTTTAAAATTTTACATCCAATATCAAGTTTCATATTTACGCTATTTAAAAGCCACTATTATGATTCGTGTTCAATGGACTTAAAAATTAAACATGGAACTCGTATTCAGGCTATTTTAAAATGAAACTTCAAGAGTCGTATTCGCGTGAATTAAAAATCACACACAGAGATTCATATTCATACAATTTAAATAAATAAATGAAATCTTGCATCGATATTTTTATAGAATCTTTGACAACATTCTGAGGATAAATGTTTCCCACATACACTTTTTCCTTGCTTAAATTTCAGGTATTTTTTCAATTATTTAAAAAGTGTTTTCAGCCTTATTGTATGAATCAAAAAACAGTTCTATAAAAAATCATTTTCTAAAAAAATCCGTCATTTTCAAACTAATTTAGCCAAAATGAAGGGGCAAAAAAAGATTGAAACTAGTTACAAGAGTTAATCAATATGTGCAGAAAGTTTTTAATTGAGATTTTTTTGTTCGCAGAAAGTTTTTGATTTTATTTAACTTAGTTCTTCTGTTTAAATTTTTTAGTAATTACTTTTTTCCAGTAGCATTTTTTTCCATCAATTTATAACACTCTCAGTAAAATTCTTGGAAAAAATATGGACTAGTTAAAAATTTATAAAAACATTTAATTTCTGTCTAAACTGTTGTAATACACTGTATAACATATTATCTACCAAAAAGAAATTTTAAAAAATAGATCACAAAATTATTTCTCATTTTATTACAAAAACTATTAATTAAAAACACTAAAAAGTTATAAAGGCTATTTTTAGCATAAAGTCATCCCAAAATTTTGACAGTAAACCAATAAATATTAACTGTGTAATGTTTGTTCTAACCACTTTTAAATATATAAACAATAAAATATTTATGTGTGTATTAAACTATCTCTTGAGGCAATATCTAGTACTCTGATAAAACATTGAAAGAACCTCTCAGTGATTTTTTAAAAATAAAATTTTAAAAATCTCTGATAAACTCTTCAGTGTGGTGCAAATTTAAAAATTGACAAATCTTTGTTTTAAACTCAATGCTTATAATTTGCTTTATTACTTGAATTGAAATTGAAAGCATTGTAGCTCAATCTGTTTCAAGGAATTAAGTTTAAATTGGTTAAATTTAATAAACGATTTAAAAGAGCAATTCAGTAGCCTTTTTTTCGATAGTTTTTTGTTAATTTAATTAAAAAGTATTTAAAATTTTCAGAATTATAAATTTGCTCTAATTTAGGATTAATTTTAAAAGTCATCAATTAGGACAAGATAACAAATATGATTGTTAAATTGGATAAAACAAAAGAATTACTTACCTAAAGAATGCTCTTTCAAACAAGGAATTAATAATCCTTCTAAAATAGCTTTTGGATGAACCATAAAAAATTTCATAATTGAAGAAGAAAGATTACGATAGTTGCTGCACTTAAAACTTAATATCTGTAATTTCAAACATTTATGTAATTAATTTTAGCAAAAATATAAAATTCAAACTTAAATTGATGATATAAAAAAATTTACATCAAAATTATTTGCATAAAAGATAATAATAAAATACTTGCTGCGACCTCACGCAGCAGATAATTAGATTCGACGCATGAGTGTGATGCCGCTTACAGGTATCCGGTTAAATCTGATCGGAAAATTGATTCAGTGTGATAATAAACCCAGTATAATGGCTGTAACATTAACAAGTAATGCATAACCAAGTGATTAGGCACAACGATGTGGCTTCAGCAGTATTCTTCTCAAGTTGCAAGTACCAAATTTTTGGTAAAAAAAATTATAAATGTAGTGAAAAGGAATACCGGCTAACTCAAATTAATGTAAATTATGATAAAAGTAAAAGAAGTACCCTTAATAAAGAAATTTAATAATAAACATAGAAACAAACATGAATTACATTTGACAAAAAAAGTAAAAGAATTAAAATTAAAGAAAAATCTCGGGGTAAGGGGAAAAAGTCATGTTTCAGCTTTCATATCCGAACTCGAACTGTTCGTTGACATTCGCTAATTCGTTGATGTCGGTGGTGTGGACATAGGTGGTGAGTGGTATAGGTGGCATCACAAGGAATCGGTTGGTTGCTACATAAATATTTAAAAATTATATATGTATACGGAAAGCACTTATATATACGTATAAAAGACTTACTTACTTTAGGATAAATAATTTTATTGAAAATGGCTAAAGTTATTGTAATACTCAAAGGCTTCTCCAAGTTAGAAATTGAGTTTAGGAAAATGGCTAATGATGTTTCATTCAAAACTGCATCTTCAATAAATTTACAAAAATGTGGGACCTTAAAAAAAATAATCAAAATTTAGAAAATAATATATTAATTATTATTTAAGAAAATAAAATCGCTTAAAAGTTTTCCTTCCCATAATATATAATATTATCAAAATGGTCCATAGCTCAATATAAATACTATTTATAAGTGAATCTCAGCTTCAAATAAAATTAAGAACAAACAAACATAATATGCTTAAATTGTAACAGATTTACTTTAAAAAAATCTTCCATATAAGCTATAGAAAGAAAATAATCAAACAATTATAGAAGTTTGATAAAACTAATTGTGTGAATGAACTATTTTACAAATCTTTATTAAATCTTCTTTACAAATCTATTAGTTTGTGAAATAAACTTACGCAAAAACTTTAAATGGTAATAAATAGTTTTCTACAGATTATATTGTTCTAATACAGGTGCTTCAATAGATAAATGGTAATAAAATAGGATTGATATCGTAGCGTAACTACCACTATAAATATTAAATACCAAATCATTAGTATATAAGACATGTTAACTTGATTCTATCTTGAGGTACCCTTTGATAGATGAAGGTTGACATAGTCTAAGATTAATTCCCCACGATGGTGACCCAGACATGATCAGAACTTGCCAATATTGATGGATGATCTACATTAAACAGTTGATTTGCTTAAAAATATACTGCTCAAAGAAAGAAAGAAAAAAATACGGTGAAGTAAGTAAAGTCTCCCGGTTAATAAACAATATGGAAGCAAAAAATATATGATGAGCAAATGCTATAAAGAAAAAAAAATGAATAAATAAAAATGAGAGAAATACTATAACAAAAAATGAAGGCAAAAAAATATAATGAGCAAAATGAAATAAATAAAAAGAAAGAAAAACAGCATGAATCAACTAGTGTAATCTGTTCATTGAATTCTATCACAGTTAAAATTCTGGAAGATGAGTAATGTAGCGTAACTACCACTATAAATATTAAATACCAAATCACTAGCATATAAGACATGTTAACTTGATTCTATCAAGAGGTACCTTTTGATAGATGAAGGTTTGCATAGTCTAAAATTAAATCCCCACAATATCAACAAATATTCAGTTAAAGAGAGAAACAACTAGGATCTCGATCTGAAAAAAACTTTAGCTTTTTTTTTTAAAAAAAAAAAAAACTTAATTTGGATTTTTCATAAAAAATTTATACTTGCAAAAGTTTTTTTCAAAAATGTACAAAAAAAAGAAGGGGAAAATAACTTTAAATAACTTTTGTTCGAATAATCAGATTTTCTCCAATTAAAGGGTAATCCTAATGATTGACCTCACACACTGTGACTAATTAGTGTTATTAGCATTTAGACAGATATGCGGACTTTTTACTGGATACATATATTTTTGACAAATAAAATATGGTTAGTTTATTAAGAATTATTGGCGCAAAAGTCCTTTTTGGCCATACCGCACCTACAGCTTGTTTTATAAGAAACATTCTGCTATAAGTCACAGCTAAATTGATTTTGCAAAAACCAATGTCCTTTAGATAATTAAAAATTTTATTGTGTGGTTTATCCCCAATTAATAAAGTCAATATTGGATTAAAGCTACCAAAATAGTGTTGTCTCTGTGTCTTAAATTTGTTACACTGGTTAAAATATGGTTAGCATTCATAGCATTAGCAATGGAGGGAGAAAAGTTGTATAGCCACTTTTCTCAGACTCAATCGTACATGCTTTTTCAAATGCACGACAGTATAGTTTTTTCAAAAAAGCAGTTGGAAGTTAAGTTTCTAAATGTTAATTTCACACTTGCATATTTTGCTTTATCTTGAAGGGTACTGTAAGTCTTTTCGCTACGTAAAACAGTTTTACACACAATTATAAAAGTTGCTTATTAAAAGATAATTTCATGTAAATAATTGCAATTATGTAAAAAATTTTTATTTTTTATAATTTCATTTATGAAAGTGAAAAAATTCTGAAGTACATAAATTTTTGCATCAATCTAAAGTTCGAATAAAATTTGTCAATTTTTCAAAAGAGCTAATATTTAAAAAAAAAATTTCTTAAGAACTATTTGGCTGATTTATTACAAAATTTAGACTTTGACATTTCAAATTACATAGTTAAAATTATGCAAAAATATGTGTGCCTCATAATTAAGTTTTTAAACAATTGTTAATAAAACAGTGAAAAAAAATAATAAATAATCATTAAATAATTTTTTTTCTTTTTTTGGAAATTAAAAAGAAATTTCATAATTGAGTGCAAAAAAATTTCAATTGAGTTCCCAAGATATAAAAAAATAAACAGAAAGCAAAATTAACTTAAAGGAGCCTGAACTTCTGCTACTCTCCTGACTGAACTAATAGGACCATATTTTAAAGATTCCCACTACCCTCCTCATTTTGCGAAGGTTTAAAATCCAAATCCATCAAAAAAGGTAGGATATTTATTCAGAGAAAGTACATTTTTGTGTCTGATTTTATAACTTAATTAATAATTAGACTAATTAATTAGTACATTTCAGATCACTTCTTATAACCATTAAGATTGATACTAAGTTTGTGAAAATCCAATCCTTAGAACAAAAGTTATTCAAGGTACAGTTATTCAGTGATAATTTTTTTTTTCTCATTGTACCTAAGCATTATCTATAAAGATTCCCACTACCCTCCTCATTTTGCGAAGGTTTAAAATCCAAATCCATCAAAAAAGGTAGGGATGTTTATTCAGAGAAAGTGCATTTTTGTGTCTGATTTTATAACTTAATTAATAATTAGACTAATTAATTAGTACATTTCAGATCACTTCTTATAACCATTAAGATTTATACTAAGTTTGTGAAAATCCAATCCTCAGAACAAAAGTTATTCAGGGTACAGTTATTCAATGATAATTTTTTTTTTCTCATTGTACCTAAGCATTATCTTTCGATAAAGGATTTCAACAATAAAAATGTTTTGAAGTCAAAAGAAAATTTTTATTTTTGTCATTTTCCAATTTTTTATTGCCATATCTTCCATTTGTGATTTTTTTATGGAGATTCTCAAAAGTTTCTTAAATTATTTCTGTTATTTAAATATCCACCTTATAAAAGCTTTTATTTAATACATACATGTCAGTATGTTTTTTCCACAACATTTACAAAAAATTAACCAATAAAGTTTCAAAATATGAGGTAAATGTTCACGATAGCAGGTTGAGGCAATAAGAGAATAAAATTTTTCACGACAATACAATGGACTGCAATTTTTATTTATTGAAAACTGGAGAGTGGTCAAACACATGCATCTCCCACCACAAGTTGCCATTCACATGGACATAGGGCATTGTTGTTAAAGAAAATACTGAAAAGTAATAAAAAATAAATAAATAACACTTTTTTTCATAATATTAGTATGTCAATAATATGTGTGAAATTTCGTTACTTCTAAAAGAATTAGAAGCCCTTTTTTAGTGAGCATCCAGTGAATTTCACATTGATCACAGGGCCCGCACTAAGGACTTCATATTACTAGATAATAAATTAGCCAAATTTCAAAAGTTTTAGCCACAGGCAAAGCTTAATAAATTTTAAATGTTCGTTTTTTCCTATAGAAAACTTTAAGTCAAAATACAAATTTACTATAAATTGAACTATTTCAAAAATGCAAATTCAAATTGAGTTAAGTAGTAAGTGTAGTTTTAAAGTTAAAGAGTAAATGAACAATAAATGGGGGAGAGGATAAAAAATGAAGAAGTTTTATTGTCTTTGAGGAATGAAATAAGAATAGGTTGGGAATAATTACATAATTTATTCTTATTAGGGATAATAATTTATTTCTGTTTTATAGGTTTTTATACTACTCAGAGGTTTTTTAACAGAATTCGGGCAGTTGTTTAACACATTCATTAACATGTTGTGTGCAGATGGTTATACTACATCTATCATTGAAAAGTGGTCATCTATAAAGATAAAATCAAAGTTAAATTTTCTTATTTTAGCAACCGTTTTAGTTTTAAAATTCCCAAAAAGTTTATTTTAGTAAAAAATATATTATTGATATGAGAACACATATTTTCTGGAAAAATATTTTAATGATAATATGCATCCAGCTACCACTTAATCTGCTTTATTGACACCAACATTTCATCACACGAAACTGCGCAATACGGCGGCGAACATGTTAATCTGTATTTTACGCCCCCTCAATGTTTATTTAATCTCTCTTTTTGCTTACATTTTCTGAACTTAACATAACTCTAATTAGTTATGCAACATATCTAAAGGAAATTACTGTAATTGAATAAAAAATGCAATATTTGTCCAGAAAAATTCATATTTATGTAATTTTCAAGACCAAGAAAAATATATTTTTTTTTCTTTTCGGTAGAAAAAACAGTTCACCAATACTTTCGCCCAAACACAATTTGTTTGGCCCAATTTAGGATTTTATTGCATTTGGTGAGGTGGCGAATGCTTAGAGCAGGCCCTGAATCATCTTAGGTATCTTTTGACAATTAAGGAAAATCTCGACTAATGTTACATGATTACATAAGAAGCCAAATCTGTATAAAAAAAAAATTAAAAAAACATGTTTTTTTTCTGTGTTTACTTGGGTTTTTTGGGTTTAACTGGGTGTCATTTTTGGGAGGAAGGGAGAAGGGGCAAATACATAGTATATTTCAATGATAATGAAATAATTTTATTACTAAATCTATAACATATTGCATTAATATATGGAATAGCATATAGCATTAATATATGTAAAACAAAAAATTTACTTTAAATAGATAACAAGCAAATAAAATCATTAAACAGCTTCATATAATTTTTAATTGAATAATAACTAGACAAAAAATTTTCTCAATTTTAATAGAATTATTTAATTTATATTTTTATCATACGGACATATTTAAAGGCAGTCTTTTCAGAAAACACCAAATACTCTTTTCATCCCAGTAGCTCTTCTTTTTTTCATTTTGATGATTTATTTTTGAAAATTATCAGTATAGACAAATAAAAGAGATGGCTTTTAACATTTACTTATCAATCACACTTGCATTTAGAAAAGTAACACTTTAATCACTTTAACTTTAATCAGCTGGTTAGGCATGTTTTCTACATGCAGACTTGTCTGGTTCAAACCGAGAAAAAGTTTCGGCGCAAAAAATTTTTTTTTGGAGTTTAGAGACATTTAAGAAGTGAATCAGAACCAACAGAAACTATCACAGAACTTTAATTAACTAAATATGGCATTCATTTTATTCTTACTTAGCAGATATATCATTAATTACATAATCTAAACTACAAAATTTTCATATAACATGAATATTATTTGATATCATTGAGTTTAAAATATTTTGGTAAAATATCAATGAGTATAATGTGTTTTATTTCTGTTATGATGAAATATTTTTTATTCCTCAAGTTTTAATTTCTTAAAAATTTCGAAAATATATTGAAAAAGAGAAAAATATTCAAAAATGTGTAAAATTCTAATAATAATTATAGTAATAACAGAAAAAAAGTAGTTGGGAAACATACACCTTTTTCTAGTATTTCTGAAGGAAAAAAAACGCACTTAAAAATGGGTTTTACTAGGATTTTTTCTAAAAAAAATAAACATTTGGATTTTTTTTTTGGACAGGCGGTTGGGTAGACAGTCGTTATAAAAGCCACAAATACATGAAAATAAAAAATATAATAAAAAAATTTAACAAAAATACAAAAAGTAATAAAGAGCACTAGTCTACAACAAACAATAGTAATACAGTCGAACTCGTTTATAACGAGCACGGATTTAACGAGAACTCGGATTTACCGAGGGAAACGAGAATTTTTGGTTGGATCATTATTAAGTCTATGGAACAGAAGTCGCTTTTAACGAGCAAGACCCGGTTTTAGCGAGCAATATTTTTCTATCTTGCAATCTTTTTTCTCATCTTTCTAGTCTTTCTGTCTTATCTTTTTTTCAAAATGATAAAAAAATGCGAGGGAAGGGGATTAGTTGTCATTAAATTAAGAAAAGTATTTAATTCAATTAATTAATGTAATTAAAGTAAGTAAGTATTAATTAAATTTTAAGTAAACTCAATCATTTGACCTGCACGCCAGTTTTAAGGACCCGTTTATTACGAGCACTCGGATTTAACGAGTACATGTTACGGTCCCTTTGTGCTCGTTATAAACGAGTTCGACTGTATTATAAATGAGAAGATGGTTTGAAAAAAAATTAAAATAAAAGGCATATAAACAAATATTACTTCCACATGTATATACCTGAGATAATGTTAAACTACTAAGTAAATCAATAGAAGCTATTTCTTCAACAGAATTGGTATCTTGAATAGACAATAAACTTGTTTTCAGAGGAAGAAATTTTTCCTGGAATAAAGTTTAAAATTATTTAACCAGCTTTAAAATACTATACAAAGCAATAATAGCTGTTATATTTTAACAAATATGCTAAGTAAACCTGTCATATAAACCCCCCCCCCAAAAAAAAAAAACATTTTCATGTCTTTAAATAATATTTTTGCAGTAATTATTTAATGATTGATAGAAATTCGTGACTACCATTGCTAGACCTTGTGATGTCCTTTGAAATTTGTCCCGTTTACAAAGTTATCTAAAAATGTTTCAATAAACCTTATTTTTTAATTTTCATTAATTTATTTTTTCTTTGGATGGATCTCCTAGAAAGGTGAAGACTACTACATTTTTAATAATATGATAAAATATAAAAAATAGATGAAATTTGAATAATTATTTAAAAAAATTAATAGCTATCAGATTCCTATAAATATGGGCTCTGGGAAGATGCTTGTTACCCTACTCTTACAAGGACTCTGACAATTACAGTTTATCTGGCCTCAAACATTTTTCAAAATAAATGCAAGCATTTGTTATAAATACTCAAAATTGCAGCTACTATCCAAATAAAGTTCAGAAAAATAAACATCAATATTAAATAATAATGCATACTGTGCAATATATGTTTTGTTATTTTTTGCATTAAATTACAGTCATTCATAATTTGTCAGCCACTGATTCTGAAATACATAAATTCATTTATCTTCATCACACAGGATATCTTTTTCATACAAATATCATATAGTTTTTTTTTTTTATTCCTTAAAATCACATTGTGTATTTTAAAATTAAATAAATAATTCTATGATAAACATAAACATCAAAAATAAAACAATTAACAAAGATATTTTGCAGAAGTGCTACATTGAATTACATCATTACTTACTAACTTTCATCATACCATTCCAACCAAATGAACTAGCCATCGTTCTACTATCAATTAACAACAAACGTGTTAGCCCTCTCACTGACGAGTGATTATTATTTCATAGTGCTCTAAATGGAGATTTAGTGGTTTTGATTGCTGTCTATATGGTTACTGTAAATTTAGGTATCCTTAAATGCATTATAAGTTTCTATCACATTTTTTTATTTTATTTACTTACATTTTATTCCGGGAATAATATTAACTAGTAGATAGTATTATGGTTAAATAGAATTTGTCATGGAAAAATAAACAATGAGAATGGTAATGTCAAACAATATATAATTAAACTTGTTTACTGTGATTATGAAAAACAATATCAATATATTGCTCATACCTCATTCTAATTTTTTTATACTGCAAATCTTTTGACTATAATTTTCCACCTCAGGCAAACCAATACGTATATATATTTCAATATTTGCAAGTTCAAAACCTTTTGGCACCTTGGTGATTGTAACTGGTGTGAACAGTTACTAATGCAGACAGTAATGCAATGCCGAGGTGCCTAATGGGTTTCTTACTTGGAATAATTTTGCACAGGTTTGCCATGGAGTGACAACGAGTTATACACTATACCAAGGGTATTCAACTTTTTACACTTTGTGTAACAATTTGGGTTCACCGTTTTCTTGAAGGAACCTTTTAAACTTACTAAATTTACAAAATTATTATTGCATCCTTATTTTATCACAATACAAACATCTCACAAAGATAATGAATCTAAAGATAGCCAATAAGATTTATACTATGAATAATAAACAAAAGCACCAATGTTTCAAATTATAACAAATTAAGAAACGGAGAAAAAAAAAGTAATGACTTGTCTGTAATTGCTTTTTATTGCTTAGTATTTTCACGTTTAGAATAATTGTTAAAATCTATAACCAAATGTAATGGTCAACATCCAGACTCTTTCAATATTTTGGTTTTGTCGCAACTTAAAAATAGAAAGTTTTATTTTGCATACATAGTTTGAAACAACTTTAGATATTTCACGGCTTTTTTGGCAATTTAAAAATATTCTTTTCTAATGTCAATCTAAAAATATATGACCTAATGCATCTGAAGCATGTGACTTTTACAAAATTTAAGATTTTATTCTATCCATAAAATAATTATTAATATTTATTTTTACTAGAAAACTGTCTTTTGTAATTCAATCATTTATAAAAATTAAAATTATACAAAATTTTTGACATTTCAATTAAGCAAATAATGAAGACTAGCTTAACGCTTGTCAATGTTCTTTGGAACTCAGGTTGAAGACCTCTGCCCTATACTCTTCGAGTTGAGTCCTTTCAATGATATATATTTTTTTTTTTTTGGTACCAATAGGGAAATCTTCTTATAGGGAAATATCTCCTTTATTCTTTTAGAGTCATAATCAACCAAAATTTTAAGCTAGTTCAGCAAACATACTACACAGACATTTTAACTGTTTCTGTAAAAAAGAAATTGTCACAACCATACACTTTAAATTTTTTCTGTTCTTACAAGCAAATTTAAAATATGTAGTAATGTATATTGGACTTATTCAATGGATTTACTGAAGAAGGTATATTTATGCAAAATAGAAGCTAGTTACAGAAGAAAATAGTTTTCAACAGTGATTCTAAGAATTTAGTAAGTAAAAAAATTTACTTCATCAATATTATCTTCGATCTGAAAGAATTTCCTAATATGAGTCTCATTGTTAGACAACTTATCTTCCGGTTTTATTTCGTCATCTTTAATTTTCAAGTTATTTATGGGTACATTTATTTCTTCAACTTCACAGATATTTTCATTTTCTACTTGAAAACTTAAGGCCCAAGGTGAATCAAATGGGTGATCTTTCAATTTGTGGCAAATCTCTTCAAACACAATTTCATTTTCTTTTACCTCGAAAAGCGCTGGTGCGTTTGCGAACATACTTTAGTCATGAAATCGCTTTCAAATTAATAACATATACTTATTTTTAATGGTATTTTAACTTTTACTTTATTTATTTTAAAATAACTACATACTAAAAGAAACTTTGAGAAAATGCTATGTTAAATTTTGGAAAACTTAAATTTTTCCTGTATTTAAAAATATTTTAATTCAATAAATTTTAAATTAACATTCTATCTTGAAGAAGTGTATAACAACAAAAACACGTTCAAAATTTTGGAGCAATCAAAACAACAGCTGTGATTGGATGACCAGGTGGCGTGGCACTCTAAATATTAGTAGAAGTTTCGTTTTTAAAAAGTTTTTCAGCAGATATTTTTAATAAAACAATCAAAAATGTGGAAAAATACTTCTTTAACGCAGCAATAATGTCGAAAAAGGAAGAAATTCAATAGTTCATTTGTAATTTTAATCATAAAGTTAATTAAAAAAATCTTTTTTAATTTTTTTTTTTTTTTCAAAAAAATAGAAGTTAGAAAGGTAGCGATAAAAACAAAACAAGAAATCCTTTCGTATCATTTTAATGTCAAATTATCCGTTTGAGTGTAAACAGGGTGACCTTGTTTACACTTCAAGGTTTAAATTACCACGTGCTATTAATTTTGAAGTGGAATTGGTTTGTAGTAAAGTGGCGGTAGAGAGTAGCTATCTAGTTTGTTTATCTCTCTATCACATCGATTTGTATCAGAAGAGCTGAATTTGAACGAAGGGACTGATCGTAGCTTTTTAAAATATCAGCATGGCTACTTCTCGTTTATCCAAAAGGTTCTATCGCCCTGAAAGCAATGAAGATACAGTTTTAGATAGAGGAGCTACTGCAGAAGCTGAAAATCGATGGGTATTTGAAATTTCTTGGGAAGTTGTTAATAAAGGTGCAAAATAACTCTTAAATATTTATGATTCTCAAGGTCAAAATGCAGATATCTAAGTTTAATTTTTGATGCATTTAATTGATATCTTTGGATATTTAAGCATTTTATCTATTACATGTTATATAAAATCCACGACCTGGCTGACCTTGTGCAAAGTTGCAACTATAATAATGTTATCATAAAGATATTTCTTAGCAGTTATCCTTAGATTTCAAGAATTTAAAATAGTAATGAGACAATCTTGTATTTACATGTGGTCTAAATTGGCATCCGGAATCAATTGATATGCATGCAAGTCTTTTATTTATTGCTTTTAAAATTAAAATACATTTTGCAGCATGAATTATTCTCTAATTAATGCAAATTTATTTTGCATTTCATCCTAATCAATCTAATAAATATTAATCTGCTTTTACTCTTTGAAATTTAAATTGTTATTTTGTAAATAAATTATTTGTTCTTTTATAGATACGATTTGTCAATTGTGAAAAATTTTATTTATACTTGACATAAGAGTTGCATTTGCAAAACATGTTGTATCTGTCCATAGTAGCATGTGAAATTTAAATGCATTATAGTATCACTGCAATGTTAAATATGAAATCAGTAGAATCATAACTCATCACAATGATGAGTAAATAAAGTATACCTGCACATTTTTTGATAAGTTTCATTGTGGTCCCCAAAATTTCTTTAAACCCTATGTTGTAACAATATAAATTGAAATACACAATATGTTATTGAAATCTTTAATAAATATTAATCACGTCAAGATATTTAATCTTACTATGACTAATCCTAATATGATTATGATTAGTAAGATTAAATATCTTAACATGATTAATCATAATATGATTATGATAAAGGGTGATATATAAGGTGTACTCTTTTTTTCTCACCCCTATTTTAATTGAATTTTAAGAAGAACTTCCATGTCTGTAATTGTGCCAAAATGGTCAACAAATTTGACGGACTACCTTATAGTGTCGCACGAGAAACTAAGAAAAATCAAAAAATTTAGCAAATCCAAAAGATTAAATTTGGAGCCATCTTCAGACAGGTCTTTTTTTTTTTTTTTTTTTNTTTTTTTTTTTTGTTTTTGAATTAAATAGTGATGGGGCCGAATATCGAATATTCAGCCAAATTTTAGGCCGAATACTTACTTTTTAAAAATTTCTCTTTTGATGGTAATTTTGTAATTAAAGTAATTTTCAAATTTAAAAAAATTTTAACAACTTGATTTATTTTTTGTAATTATTTAAATATCTAGATGCCAATAACAAGGCAATATGGCTTTTATAAATCTAAATAATTAATAATAGCATATTTTTGTTATAGTTATACTTGTAATTTATATGCTATTTTATTTAAAATAAGAACTCATTACTACTGTTAAATGTATTCTTAACTTTCTTTTTTGTCAGAAAAATTATTAAAACCCAGAAAATTAAGAACTTTTTAAAAAGTTTCACTTTTGAAATTTTTATTTTGTATTAAATTGCAACAAGAAAATGTTTTTATGTATGTAACATTATTAAATACACTTATGTATTATACAACTTAAATTGAGTAAATGTTAGATTTTCTAATAATTAATGCAGTGAAATGTTACTCTGCAATATTCATGATTAAATATATTTAAAAGCACATTTAAAAGAATATCTTTCTTTATTATTATGAATTTATTCATCCAAATATCTAATAATATTCATATTCAGCCTAATAACTTCAGGCCGAATATTCGGCAAAAGGGCCGAATAGTGGCCGAATATTCGGCAAAAGGGCCGAATACCGAATAGTGACCGAATATTCGTTACATCCCTAGAATTAAATACTAAAGAGCTAGGGACTTGGCTCATTTTGTTGGCTTGAGTAGGTATTTATATGGAACTATAATGGAATTTTGAATGCACAATAGTGCAGTAGGTTCCCGAAATCTAAATATATTGTATTATTACATGGCTTTGATATCACTTTGTAAATAATAGTTGACATTTTGCTAAAAAATTTAACTCTTTAACTCATTTTAATTTCATTATGTAGTTGGAGGAATTTATACTGTTATCAGATCAAAAGCAGCTGTGAGTGTTGAAGAATTAGGAGATCAGTATTGCCTTCTTGGCCCGTACAATGATGGGCTTGTTAAAACTGAAGTCGAAGTTATGGATCCACCCGAAGCTGTTTATCAAAATGCTATTCAAGCATTAAGGCAGTGTGGTATAAAGGTAAATGTATTTTTTATTTATTTGTAATTTTTTTGTTCATAATTAGATTGTTTTCGATTATTTAAAAGAATCGTGTTTAATTATTCATGGATGATATTAATCAGATTTTTAACTTAAAATCTTTCATTAATATTGTAATCTATAATCACGAATGTGAGCCGGCCAAGCGGTTAGCGCGCCTAACTGCGAAGCCAATGGCTGCGGGTTCAAATCCCGCTCTGGGCATGGATGTTTCTGTCTATGTGATGTGTGAATGTGGCTGACCCTATGAATGGGTTTGTGGCAGTGGGGCGTGGGTAATGTTGCTCGCCTCCTTGACTTTGGTTCACAGGTACCCACTGGGTAACATAAAATGAGTAACAATTCCGGCATCTTCTTAGGCGAAGAATAAAGTTCAGTGCCTGCCATTTGAAAAAAAAAAAAAAATAGTAATCATAAATGTAAATCTTATTCAAGAATATTAATTACTTTGAAAACTATATTTTTGGTTAATTATGCTATACAATATACAACAATTATTTCCCATTAAAGTTCTAGTTAATATACTACAATCGTTTCTTATTAAGGGAATTCTTGCATGAAGCTGTATATTTTTGTCATTTATATTTATATACTTATTTAGCCTTTCACATCTTTTTGTGTTACGAATTTTTTTTTTTAATCTTTAAGGACAAAAGTTTAATCTATATCAAGAAAAATGTCAGAAATGTATTTTATGGATGATAACATGGATATGGATTTCAACCTTTGTATAGAAACTTCCTAATAAATTAAAGGGATTGTTACCTTACATTAATAAGTAGCATGTTTCAAAATAGCGACAATTTTAAAACTATTTTTTAGCATTGTTTTTAGATAGGTGGTTTAAAATTTTTCCAGATTTTTGCTAGATAACAGCATAATACCTGAAAATATTTTAGTTGTTACTTGGAAATTGTGATGTTTTCCCCCAAAAATTCTCTTCTGAAACAGTTTAAAAATGTTTCTTGGCATTATATTTCCTTAAACCCTTCAATGTTTAAAATAAAATTTTAATGTTCTTCAAAAATCATATGGGTGTTAAAAGTTTTAACTTTTAAGCTAGCCTGTGCAATTTTCTTTCAAAGAATAAATCCTATGGCATACTTCATTGCAAAGGATCAATTGAAGTACTGATGCAACTTTTAATTGGACAAAAGTTTACAGAAAATAGTTGTTAAAAGGACAATATTGAAAATTTAAACTAATGATTTCTAGATAAGCGTATGTTTAACAGTAAACTCATAACAAAATTACCTTAATTTCAAATGAGAATTAGTTCTTACAATCTTTAGTTTATATTATGTCTTTAGAGCAGAGGTTTAAGTTTTAAATTTGAGTAAAATAATTTTCTTTTTCTGACATTTATATTAAATAAATATAACAAAATATGGTATATCGCACAGCGATAATCATGTAAGCTGAATTGATTTTAAAATTTATTATTTTTATTTTAAAATGTTCTTCTTTTTAAGTTAATTTTTCCTCCATTTGTTTCTGAGTCTTCCTGTAAACTTCTACCATTTAAGCAAATGATTATCAGGGAAGAATAAATATATTTATCATGAATAAATTTTTAACTACTAAATTGAGGAATTTTATAATGTCCTTGCTGCACGCTTGTTATGTAATGAGTTTAGTATTAAAAAGTGTCTATTCTATTTTATTGATCATTGTAATTATTCCAATGATCAATAGTTAAAGTAATACGATAATAAGTTTCGATACGATAGTAAATAATAAGTTTCTTTCAAATGTTCAGGTAGTTTATGGAAGATGGTTGATAGATGGATACCCTCGGGTAATTCTTTTTGATATAAGTTCTGCAGCATGGAAATTAGATGAATGGAAAAGAGATCTCTGGAACACAGCCAACATTGGAGTACCCTGGCATGATAGAGAATCTAATGATGCTATAATATTTGGATACTTAGTCGCTTGGTTCCTTGATGAAGTAAATTTTTTAAAATTATTATTCAAACCAATGTTGAAATGTAATAATATAAATTCGTGTTAAAATTTATATAATTTTTCTTTTTCTTTAAAACTGTTTTTGAACAGTGAATTAACTTAGCTATTTCATGTTTCTGCTTTTCTTGATTCAAATGAAAGGACATCTCATTAGTTCACGAAAAATATGATTAGTGCATTTAGCATTATTGATATTGTGCACATTATAACAACCAAAAAGCTTGATTCCCTTTCATTTCCTACATAAATGATGGAGAGAAAAATTTCGGCATTTAGAGTGTCCTCTTATGCCATTTCCTTGAAATACTGGGGTTTTGCGTTATCTTTCACACAACTGTTGATAATTATTTATGTAATATTTTCATGTCAACAAGAATTTGTACTAAAATTCGATAGTGTACAGCTTGCAAGAAATTAGACTTTAATTATGTTCATATTGAACATTTTCTTACAAATTTCACAAAAAAGGTTTTATGGACATTAATGATAATGTTATTAGTAATATCAGAAAAGGTAGGTAGTTCAACATCATTTCCAACCCGGTGAATACTTACAGTATTTCAGAACGGAATGCCAAGCCCGATACCAACTTTTTGGAGTATTCACAATGTGATAACAATCTGATGACTTATAAATGAGACACAATTCAATAGCTGGAACTATAGCATTTGGTAGTAATGAAGAAAACTGTGAACCTTCAGATCTACTACCATCATTAAATGAGGCAGCAGTTATGCTGAAGAGTTCAAAATTTCTCTCCCAATTGCATGAAAAACAAGAGACAGAAATGAATGCTTTGGAAGTGTTAAAAAAAAAAATCCATACTGTACTTTAAGTCAAACAAAAGGTAAACCAACAAAAATGTCAGGCTTTTTTTCATTAAAATAATGTAAGTTTTTCTTTTTTATTAAATAAATTACATAAACAATTAAAACAAAATTACATACACAAGTTTCGTATTGTATTTAATTATTTAACAAAATGCATTTAAATTTGTACCCTTTTATTGGAATTTTAATGTCCCCAACATAACAACATCCCATTATGTACGACGTTTTTGTTCAGTCAAGCAGCATTGAATCGATGTTGAACTGTGTATAGGAGTAAAATTATCACACACAAAAAGAGAATATGTGTCTGTTACTGATGTAAATAAAGGTATATCCTGTAAAGATTAAAGTATCACATTTATTTTGTCTTATAAAGTGGCTAAAACTTAAATATATGTTAAATTGAAAAAATTTTCTTCAATCAGCAGTGGCTTAAAATACTTCTGTAGAATCTATCTCTTCAATGTTAAAAATTCAATTTTCTTTTGTAAGGATTCTGTAAAAGTAATTTTATCAGTATTTATCAAAACTAGACTTAAAGAAGTGTCTAGGGTTACATTCACCTAGGACCACCGAAAAGCCATCCATAACTTCATTTTTATATTTTTATTCAATTTCTGTTACATTATAGGAAAATAATTTTATTTTCAATTCTAATGTTCATAAATATTTAATATTTTATACTTGTGATTTATATCAGTTTTTTTTTTAATTAAATTTACCTTTGTATTTTATCAACAAAAACTTGAAAATGCAACTAATATATTTCACTTCACTCTGGACCTCTTAAGCCCTTGTAATGCTTCTGAATATAATTAAGGTAATGTCCGTGTGTAGAAAAAAAAATAGATTCTGTTCTGATTGCTGCTTTTACAGTTAACATTTTGATGTACATTATTTTCTCCCAGTTAAACATTAAAAAAATAATTATACAAATACTACTTCAAATTAGTATATTGGTTAAAAATTATTGTATATGCATACTCGTTACTTTATAGCTACTGGATTATGTTTAAAAATTCTACTAGTAGAATATAGCACATCTCTATTTTATGTTTTTAGTTTTACAAACAAGTTGAACTGGAAAGAGGAACTCCTTATGTAGTTGCATCCTTTCACGAATGGCTGGCAGGAATAGGTCTCATACTGTGTCGAACTAGACATCTTGATATAGCCACAGTTTTTACCACTCATGCTACTTTATTAGGAAGATATTTATGTGCTGCAAATTTAGACTTCTATAATAATTTAGATAAGGTATGTTTTAAAAAATCAATTTTGTTATACAATTTTTATAATGTACGCTGATTGATTAAAAAAAGATATTTCTATGTTGCAAATAAATTTTTTGAAGCATTTTTTTAGTTCTTGTAAAAAAAATATTTAATTCTGATAAAGAAACTAATTTGCTTATGCTTTTTAGTTTAATCTAGATAAAGAAGCTGGGGATAGGTCTATCTATCACAGATACTGCATGGAACGAGCTGCTGCACATAGTTCTCATGTTTTTACCACTGTTTCAGAAATCACATCTATAGAATCTGAACATTTGTTAAAGCGAAAACCAGGTTTGTGGGAATTAATTTGCTTTTTGTCTTATCTGCGTTGAGCAAGATGCGGATAAGTTTAAAAGCAAAATTACTTAGAAAAATTTAATTTTGCGCTTAATGCAGCAAAATATTTTAATGTGCATTATCTAGAAATTTAGATATAAAATATTGTAAAATGGATTATTTCATTTCATATGAACTCAAAATTTATGTATGTAGTAGAATATAAATACAATTGAACCTCCTCAATATGAACACACTTAACATAAATTTCTTTTAACACTAACTTTCGATTCTCTATCGCTATCTATTCGCTAAATTAATTTTGTGCTTAATGCAGCAAAATATTTTAATGTGCATTATTTTGAAACTTTTATATAAAATATTGTAAAATGGATTATTTCATTTAATTTGAACTAAAAATTTGTATATGCAGTTGAATATAAATACAGTTGAACCACCTCAATATGAACACACTTAACATAAATTTCTTTTAATACTAATTTTCGATTCGTAACTTAGTATAATGCTTTTAAATACAGTATACTCTTGATATCTCAAAAATGAAGGGACGTTAATAAAATCCCGAGGTAGGGAGTTTTCAAGATAACAAGTTCAGAATTAAAGATGTTCTAAAAAGTAGAAAAATATATTCTAAAATATTACTCTAAAAAGTAGAGTCATGAAATGTAAGAATAACTACTATAACATATGTATGTAATGATAGTTGACTATAAGTCTGAATACATTTATGATAATTTTATTTTTAAAAGTGAGACATAAATAATTATGCATTAAATAGAAAAGGATTGGCTTACAATAATTTTTCATTATGATTTTTCCGAAAACATTCAATTTCTCTTTTGAAAAGATTTCAGCAAAGCAAGGTTTTGAAAAGAAACTCTTCAACATAGGAATTCATAGGTAGATATATCATGCTAAGGAAAAAAATATGTTTTGAAATAACAAGGTTTTCGAGATATGGAGGGTATACTGTACTGTAAAGTGAATGAGCTTAACACAAAATATCTTATTAGATGAAATCAAACTCCATTCATCTTGGAAAAAATTTTACTTTTCACATGAGCAAAACAATTATTTTTACTCTGTAAAAAAAGAAATTGATGTTTTTAAAAACAATTCTATATATTTTGTTGAAGTGTAGGTTTATTTATTATTGCAGCTCTGGAAGGAACTATGAACTGGATCTTACTAGGATCATGATTGGAAATACTTTCACTTTCATAATTCTTTTTTAATATAAATAGAAAATTTTCTATTACCCCAAATATCTTAACATTGATAACTTTAAATGAAAGTAAAAATCACGATCTATATTAAAAATAGTTTCCTTGTAAAAATAACCCTTTTGTTATAAAACAAATATATTCTTTGTAAAAAAATAAAAAAAAGTTATGTATCTCTCACACTCACAGGTTATTCTGAGAAATTAATATCCAAATGTGTGTAAGATTAATATGTTTACAAAACTTTAGTATGTAAATTACTTTTACATCCGTGTAACTGATATTTACTTATATACAAATCATAGGTTTTTTTAATGTTATTTTAAAGTATTTCTTAATTTTTTGTTTTATACTTTTAGATGTAATCACTCCTAATGGTTTGAATGTAAAAAAGTTTAGTGCCATTCATGAATTTCAAAATCTGCATGCTCTTGCTAAGGAAAAAATTCATGATTTTGTTAGAGGTCATTTTTATGGGTTTGTATATTTCCTTTTTAATTTAATATTATGAATTATTTTAATATGGCATATTTTACAGAGTGGCTACAAAATACTGTTACAAATATCGAATTATTTTATTGTATAGATATTAAATAGAAAATGATAAATACACAAATGTGATGAAAGCTATAAATAGAAGTTTACATTTAAAAAAAATGTATTCGAATCTACCACCATCTTTATCGATTACTAAAGATAATCTCTTATGCTATTGTCTAATGACAACATGAATCATTTTAAGAGATAATTTGTAACGCAATAAGGAAGGTCTGAGAGAATCCAAACTTCTGTGATGCTTAGTGTCTAGCTCTTTAACTCAAAGCACAATAATTTAAAGAATTAAGATCTAGTGAAGAAAAGGGCCAATCTTCTTGCTTGATAAATTTTGGACAATTGACATTAAGCCAGGCAAAATTTTAAAATGAGCATGCTACTTATCTGCTTTTAAGGAAAATGGGGGAGACGTGAAATTTTGTAGTGTTAGAAAATTAGATGTTGCAACAATGTTTTTTTTTTTTTTTTTTTNTTTTTTTTTTTTTTTTTTTTTTTTTTTTTTTTTTTTTTTTTTTGTTAGAAAAAAACTTATAAACAATATTATTTAAACTTTTGAGAAAGAGTTTCCCTTATTTATTTATTTATTGTTACAATGTGTTTGTTTTAATTAACACACTGTTTATCCTTATAATGTTGCACCAAAAAGTTTGTGAAAATTCATGTTATTAATAGTTTTTTTACTGACTTTTATACATTAAAAGTAAAGCAATAGAGAGGACTAGGAGATATAGAAAGGACAGATAGATGAGTGTTAGAATAAATAATTGTACTTAGCAAACAGATATCTTAACTGGTGCAAAAGTGCCATTGGTTTTCATGAGTTTGAATCTGGCATACATATTAATTTTGACATACTTATACTTTTTTATTATTATTGAACATTTACTTTGATAAATTTTGATGTTTGGTAAATTTAGAGTCAGTTGGGGTAATTATTTTAATTGACTTTTAATGACTTTTTTTGACTTTTTAATTTTTCTTAAAAAANTCTGGCATACATATTAATTTTGACATACTTATACTTTTTTATAATTATTGAACATTTACTTTGATAAATTTTGATGTTTGGTAAATTTAGAGTCAGTTGGGGTAATTATTTCTAATTTGACTTTTTATTTTTTCTTAAAAAAATATTTAGTCCTATGTTTTTCAAAAATAATCCTCGGGCTCTTGAAGGAGTGATCATGATTATCCTACAAAAATTCCTAAAAAGTGAAAGTTCGGAGTGATTCTAACCACGTTTGGAGCAATTATAACCATCTGCTAATGCATAACCTAAAACTGCTGTTGTCACCAGACAAACTCTCCAGAAACCTTAACCTTTTTTTCTTTGTTTTTTATTTATTCCATTCACATAGAATCCTGATTTATCTGATGCAGCTTCTACTTTTTGTTAAAATTGTAGACAATTTTAGAAACTGTTTTCCTCTGGAGCAGCAACTGAGAATTGCAATTTTTTCCAAGTATATGCTAGGATGTCTCATTATAAACCAGCCCTTCCACTTGATTTCTATTCTCAAAAACATTTAAAATAGAATTTTTCTAAGTGTAATGATGCAAAAGCTCCTGTTTGTCATGAGATTAACCAAATCTGTCATAAGATTAACCAAACAAATGTTCTATAAGTTTATGTTCTTTAATTGTTAAATTTTTTTAATTTAAATTTTGGGCACCTCAATTCTCCAAACTAATTTTCAACCAACCCACATCTGAATTACTGATTTTAGTTTGCCATAGTTTTTTTCTGCTTCTCATAGACTGTTTTACCATTGTATCAGCCCTCTGATGTATGATTCCTATACTGACTCATTAAAACAGTAACTTTGTGCCACATATTCACATCTCTTGATTAAGTTTATTTTGTTATTCTTTATACATTACATTATTTTAATAATTATTTCTTGTAAAAGGTTTATAACTAACTGATTTATATTGATAAATAAAATGAAAAAATCATTAAACAGAATAAATAAGAAATGCATAATAAAAGCTGCTGTATATAATGCTGTGTATGCTGCATGTGAGAGACATTGAAAATTTCGGCATTCACTTTTCTTCCTTTATTATTTAACTTTTTTCATTTGTTTTGATTGTAAAATTTTTCAAGCCAAAAGTAATGTGTAGTTAATTACATTGCATGGAAAATTTTCATACAAGTGAAATTAAACTTAGCATGTTTATAATCAAATGCAAAATGAGATGTGTAAAAAATGCTATTAAATTCTTACATTAAATTTGTTATTTTTACAGGCACTATGATTTTGATCTAGATAAAACTATTTATCTCTTTATTGCTGGTCGTTATGAATTTTCAAATAAAGGAGCAGATTTATTTATAGAAGCTTTAGCCCGTTTAAATCATTTTCTAAAAGTAAGAAACCATTTTATTATCTGTGCATAAATGTAATAAACGTTAAATTCAAATCTTAGTTGACTTTGTTTTGGTCTTTTCTATTTGTTTATTTTTTTTTAAATGCAGGCAAGGGCATTGAGATATGTTAAAAAAAATTATAATTGAACTCTTTTAACTGGATAGATTGATGTAATATGTAGAATATTTTTTCTAATTTTAAAAATAGTTTTACTTAATTAATTATCTCAAAGTGAAAGACATAATTTATTTTATTAAATTTTTAAGTGTATTGTTGACAGTCTGTATATGGGTGATTCTTTTTAAACACGACAATTTGGACCAAAAAATTTCATCAAATTTAAATTCTTCAAAATAATCTAAAAATAATTTTGTATGCTTCTTTAGTTACACTTATTAATATCGTACAGACAGCAGTGTAGATTATTGACATTTGCTTTAGAAGAAGAAAAAAATAGAAATTCACCAAATCTTGAATTCCAGGAAAATGACATATTAGCTTAGAAGTTTAAAAAATAGTCATTTTAAATTAATAGTAAGTAACTCAACTTAAGCCTTTATGTTCATGAACCATTAATTGCTTAAATTAATTCTTTTTATCCACTATAGAAAGAATCAAAAAAAATTTTGTTGCTAATATGTACAGAATAAAATTGTGGATAATAATCAATCATTAAATAAATAAATAACTTTGATTACATCCAACCATATTACAANGCAGCCGAACCTCTTGAACTCGAAATGGACAACAAAAAATTTAATATCATAATTATTTATGTTAGCCAGATTTCATCTTATCCGATACATTATGAAAACAATTTATTTCATACTACAGTACAGAACCCGTTATCCGGAAATCAGAAAACCGGAAAACCAAAAAACCGGAACGAAATTCGATAAATTTTCTCACAATTTTTTTTTTTAAATTTTTTTTTTCCTCATAAGATTTTACGATTTTTCTTTCTCTTTTTAAAGATGTTTACCTTACCATCATTTTGGAAATAATCATTAGTGTATTACTTCATCGTTTTTTCTTATTTTTAAGATTATTTCCAAAATTTTTTATTTTTTTTAAGTTGGGTTTAACAATAAAAAACGGCTTATTGTAGCGATTCAGAAAACCGGAAAAAATCAGTTATCCGGAATAGCAATTGTCCCGACCGTTCCGGATAATCGGTTTCCTACTGTACAATTGACTTGGTATTAGGTTAATATTTGCTTTTCCTCCTTACAGTATTAGAAGTGTAAAAAAATTTCTGGTAACACTTCAATGTCCTGGAATACATAAGTCAAGATAATGACAAATTCGCCATTTTATAGCATATAACTTTACTTTAATTTAATATTTTGGCCTAAGACGTTTACATTCTGCAGAAAACAACAGGATTTCTTAAAACAATTCAGATAAATCTATGTAGTTTACGACAGTAATGATTTCAAGAAGCCAGGAAAATGACAACACAAAAACCTACTCATCTTGAAAAATTTTTTGAAATAGATTTTGAACCAGAAAATTGGTTCTTTATTCATGCAACAAGACATGTTCATATAGGAAGGTATCTATATTGCTGGCTCTATCTATTTTGGTTATAAACCACTAAATAAGGCCAGGAAAATGAAAGATTTTCTTGGGACAAACAAATTATTGACAGAAAAAATTATTTTAAACAAAGTTTTTGCAAATAATACCCTCTGCGTATATTCTAGAAATGCTTACACCGGTTGAGATAAAAAAAAATTAGATATTGAAAATTTTATGGGAAGTTTTGAAGCTAGTTTGGAAATATTGTTTGGGACATGCCAGAAGCATGAAATTTCAATTAATTTTTTTAACTATACAAAACAGTCAATGCTAGTGCAAAGTCATTTTAAAATGCTAACAGCAATGCAATTTATAAATTTTTTTTAAAAAAAAAGTTCTTTTAGTATCATAGTATTAGATCTTGGAACAAGGGACAGTGAATTTCGTGAGAATCACCCATATACCAAAACACTTAAACTAAAGGAAAATGAACTATAAGCGTTACTTTATCAAATCATCAGACCTTTTTCAAAAGCTTACTAAAAATTTTAAAAAATTATGTTNATTTTTTTTTAAATGCAGGCAAGGGCATTGAGATATGTTAAAAAAAATTATAATTGAACTCTTTTAACTGGATAGATTGATGTAATATGTAGAATATTTTTTCTAATTTTAAAAATAGTTTTACTTAATTAATTATCTCAAAGTGAAAGACATATTTTATTTTATTAAATTTTTAAATGTATTGTTGACAGTCTGTATATGGGTGATTCTTTTTAAACACGACAATTTGGACCAAAAAATTTCATCAAATTTAAATTCTTCAAAATAATCTAAAAAAAATTTTGTATGCTTCTTTAGTTACACTTATTAATATCTTACAGACAGCAGTGTAGTTTATTGACAGCTCTAGAAAAAAAAATAGAAATTAACCAAATCTTGACTTCTAGGAAAATGACATATTAGCTTAGAAGTTTAAAAAATAGTCATTTTAAATTAATAGTAACTCAACTTAAGCCTTTATGTTACATGAACCATTAATTGCTTAAATTAATTCTTTTTATCCACTGTAGAAAGAATCAAAAAAAATTTTGTTGCTGATATGTACAGAATAAAATTGTGTATAATAATCAATCATTAAATAAATAAATAACTTTGATTACATCCAACCATATTACAATTAACTTGGTATTAGGTTAATATTTGCTTTTCCTCCTTACAGTATTAGAAGTTTAAAAAAATTTCTGGTAACACTTCAGTGTCCTGGAATACATAAGCCAGGATAATGACAAATTCGCCATTTTATAGCATATAACTTTAATTTAATATTTTGGTCTAAGACGTTTACGTTCTGCAGAAAACAACAGGATTTCTTAAAACAACTCAAATAAATCTATGTAGTTTACGTCAGTAATGATTTCAAGAAGCCAGGAAAATGACAACACAAAAACCTACGCATCTTGAAAAAATTTTTGAAATAGATTTTGAACCAGAAAATTGGTTCTTTATTCATGCAACAAGACATGTTCATATAGGAGGGTATCTATTCAATCTATTAACATAAAATATTAATTGCTGGCTCTATCTATTTTGGTTATAAACCACTAAATAAAAGTAGCCAGGAAACAAACAAATTATTGACAGAAAAAATTATTTTGAACTAAGTTTTTGCAAATAATACCCTCTGCGTATATTCTAGAAATGCTTACACTGGTTGAGATGAAAAAAAATTAGATATTGAAAATTTTATGGGAAGTTTTGAAGCTAGTTTGGAAATATTGTTTGGGACATGCCAGAAACATGAAATTTCAATTTTAACTATACAAAACAGTCAATGCTAGTGCAAAGTCATTTTAAAAAGCTAACAGCAATGCAATTTATTAATTTTCTTTTAAAAAAGTTCTCTTAGTATTATAGTAGTAGATCTTGGAGCAAGGGACAGTGAATTGTCATATTTCGTGAGAATCACCCATATACCGAAACACTTAAACTAAAGGAAAATGAACTATAAGCGTTACTTTATCAAATCATCAAACCTTTTTCAAAAGCTTACTAAAAATTTTAAAAAATTATGTTCTTTGAAAGGATTTATTTTTCTTTTAAATAGTACTAAAAAGCATCTTTTACAAATTTTTTAAGAAAAATTCTGCCTGAAAATTTGTTACTTAGGAGTTTTAGAAATACCTATCATTGAATAAGTTGTATAATAGTCAGCTTAATATATATCTTATTATCTAATTTATGAGTTAAGTTAATTTTGTTAATGTCAATGTGCACATACTCAAATATATATGTATTAAATACACATACATACACACGCACAATATGACTGTAATGTTTAATTCTTTTATTATGAACTTTTCTTTTATTGCAGTCAGCTCAGAGTGATATGACTGTTATGGCCTTTTTAATATTTCCTGCCCGCACCAACAATTTCAATGTTGAATCACTCCGAGGACAAGCTATTGCTAAACAGCTTCGTGACACTGTTCATGATGTGCAGTCAAAAATAGGAAAAAGAATGTTTGAAATTTGTTTGGGGTAAATACTCTCTTCATTTATAACTTAATTGATATATATCTTGTATATTGAAGACTAGCTTTGCTATTATTAAAGAGAAAAGGTAATTAAATGTGCAATTAAAACATTTAAAAAGTTATCTATTTACAATCATATTTATAATAACCATTCATTCAGATATCTTTTTAATGCTTATGAGCATGATTTATTCTAGTTTTTACTCAAATCAGAACTCATTAAAATTTCAAATCTCTTAGAAAAGTTTTTAGATAACATGTATTTTTTTTTTTTTNTTTTTTTTTTTTTTTTTTTTTTTTTTTTTTTTTTTTTTTTTTTTTTACTTTATGGCTTTATTATGAGTTGTTTTATAATAGTTTTTGATTGTACTCGAGAACAAGTACTAATTTTTTAAAGCATAAAAAATTCTAAATACTTATTTCTGACATCAAGATTATATTTTTTAAATAGTTGTTACTGTAATTTAAAGTGCTCTTTCTCTTAATTTATAGTATAAATTAAATAAAGTTGTAGGGGAAGTCCTGGTTTATTTGTATTTTTACCAATTCACATAAACAATGAAAGACTAGAAAATTATCTAACTCTAAATATTTATTGAAAAGGACAAAACACATAAAAATAAAACAAGGATAAAAAAATACAAGAATTTGGAAGAGGGGGTTTTGGGCTCGAATTAAACATCCGTACTTAACGGCGGTTCCTGGCAGACTGTCTTAGTTCACCGCCAGAGGCGCTGTAGTGGGGGAAAGAGGAGAGTTCGTTACAAAGTCAAATTTTTATCACAGTTTTTAGTTCTAGTATTCATCTGCTGAGTACATTATTTTATAGTATGTTTAAAGTTTAATTCAAGATTTAGATTCTGTTTTTAAAAAAAGAAGGAAAAAAACTTAAGTCCACAATTGGGCACCTGTCTGAATATTTTTATACATGCTTCTGCTAAATCTTTCATTTTTTCTCCACTCATTTGGTTATTTGTTGAGAAAATACTTTAATTCAATGTCCTCGATTATTATGTCCTGCCTGACTATTAAATTAATTTTTTAAAAATTGGTTGTTCCATATGCATTCCAATTTATGTACAAAACTTCAATTTTACTCAGTTTATACAAACCTTGGAGAAGAAGAGATAATTGAGAAGGAGATATATTTCTTTTTTTAATTAAAGAGAAGACTTATATCTATATTTAGTCAGTTTTTATGCATCTAAAATAAAAACTGTTGAGATGCAGATGGGATTTTAAAAAAACATAATTAAATAACATAATAATCACTTTCAATAACTTAATAATAGCTTTCATAAACAAAATAATTTAAGATTAAAAATAATTTATTCAGTTCATGGTAATTTATTTCTTTGAAATCTAAAATATCAATATTACAAATTGTTCTTTCAGTGGAAGATTACCAAAAAATGAAGAATTAATGACTAATGAGGATATAGTGAAAATGAAACGATGCATTTATGCTTCCCAGGTAAATATTTGCTTAGTAACTGACTTGAAATTTGATTGATTCTCTTAATTAGCATCCAATATTTTACCCACTCAAACATTTTTTGGATTAGTTTATTTTAAAGTTCCATATTGTAAATCTTTTACCTTAATTAACATGCAAATGAAATAAGAATTATTTCATTGTTGCAAAAAACTTTTTGGAAGCATCAGGGAAAATGTTGAGTCATGAGCCTAGAACTCAATTCCAGTCCTGAAGATATAAAGTTGCAAATAGTTTTTTGTGCTACAATATTGAAGAAATCTGGTAATAGTAGAGGTAAAAAAAAATGATCCTATAAATCTGTGATCTGAGTGCCCATAAGCAGAAAGTATGGCTGGTTGTCAGAGTGTTTTAGTTCATCCAAAAAATGTAATGAAATTGCGAAAAATATTAATAAACTTATAAGTAAGATATGGATGTCATAAGCAACAGTTATAATTTTCATGGTAAAATACATATATATATGTTGTTGTTGAAAAATATTTTTAATGAGATTTACTGAAAATTTTAATTGGCACAAATTCTGGACTGTTCAGTTTTTATTATAAGTAAAAAAATATTGAACTTTAAATGTCTTGAAAAATGTGTTCTTTATTAATGAAAAAGTTTTGGTTTTTTGTGCATTTGAGTTAGTTGAATTCCAAATAGTTTGGCATTGAATGTAAATAATTTACACTTAGAAATTATTTTTATAAAACTTAAATTCAGTAAATTTGTTTTCTTATTGGGATATGAATCTTTAAACATTCACCCTTGACCTCACCACTAAACAAAGCACCAATTAATTAAAACTGTTAACAAAAGCTTTTCTTATTTTAAGATTTACTGTAAAATTTGTAATAATAGTTAATATTATTAATCTAAAACATTTTTCAGAGAACCAGTCTTCCACCTGTTTGTACCCATAATATGATAGATGATGGCAATGACCCTGTTCTAAACCATGTCCGTAGGTGTTGCCTATTTAATAACAGAGAAGATCGCGTCAAAGTAAGTTAAAGTATTCTTTCTAACATAATATGAAACAAGACTACGATAATATAAAACTACAAGACTTTGATTTATTTCTTAAAAATATATGTTGCTAATTTACTGAAACTGAATTTCTTTCTTTTCCATTATTCCAAAAAAGGAAAATATTTTGTTAATTTTTCTGAAAATATTTATTTACATGTATGATAATCCTTCTTATATCTGCCTATCGATCAATGAAATATTTTATTTTTGAAAATTTTATTGCTCTTGCAATTGAACTTTAACTTCTTTCAAACAATATACAAAAACAATTACAAGCTATTTAACCAAAATGTATTAAGTTAGACATCACAACAAAATTTCAATTTTTAGGTAATCTTTCATCCTGAATTTTTATCATCAACCAATCCATTATTCAGCATGGATTATGAAGAATTTGTTAGAGGATGTCATATCGGAGTATTCCCTTCTTATTATGAGCCTTGGGGTTACACTCCTGGTAACATTACTTTTATGTAAGTACTATAAATACTTGTATATTAATTTTATATTAAAAATGACTTCTTTTTTTTGTGTAGCTGAATGCACTGTGATGGGTATACCTAGTATAACTACTAATTTGTCAGGATTTGGATGTTTCATAGCAGAACATGTTGCTGATCCTATGTCATATGGTACATATATTGTAGATAGGAGATTCAAAAGTCCTGAAGAATCAGTACAACAGCTAGCTCAGGTAACAAATTTTGATATTTCTACCATTAAAAAGAAAAACAAATCTTGTATCTTTTTTTTCACTCTTGTGAATGGTACAATGTGGTTGTAAAATTTTTTTTTTTTATGCTTTAAGTATTGTTACTGTGCTTCGAGTGAAGCCTTTACTTATTGTATCAAAAGCTAGGGTGCATGAAGTTCGTGCTTTTTTTTTTAAAATGTTAGTCTAATGTGGAAATTTCTGTTTTTGTATTAATTAATTAGTTAGGATCATATGCTATGACTTGAAAATTACATTCAATTGGGCAATTAAAAATATCTGTCTCTTTTTTTAAAGAAAGTCATAAATACTTCAGCTTGTACATTTAATTTAATGAGAAAAATGTAACAATATTCTTAAAATGAAGTATAATATTTGATATTATAGTTGTATATAATTTGATTATTTTTCTCTGATCCCTTCAACTTTAAATTACTCAAGTTTGATTGCATTTAAATTGTCTCAAAGCCATAAGAAAGGCTTAAAACTGGGGGAGTAGGACAGATAAACTAACCTATCACTTCTTAAGTAATGCCTTAGGTTGAGCATATTTCATCTGTTCTCCTAATGAAATAATATACTTCAATGTTAAATATGTAATGACTTATTCTATTTTCAGCTTTTAATGATGTTGCTAATCATGTATAATTGTAACAATACATAAATCACTCATAACCAGGCAAAAAACTTGTCTTCTAATGTGCTGCAACCACTAATGAAATATTTTTGTAAATTTTTAGAATTTTATTACTTTTTGATTCTTGATTTTGATTAGAATATTAATTTTAAAATGTACTAACATTCTTCAAATTTTCTAATAACTATTCTTTAAAAAGTAGTTTTATATTTAAAAATTATTTGAATTTATTGCAATATCCATTAATAAAATTCCATTGCTGTGTCTTTGATTTAAGAAGTAGCCTGTTAACTCTGCTACTTCTAATAGCTACTTAACTAACCTACTTCCAATATCCTGAAATTTTTTTATTTTGACTACCCAGATATCTCAGATAGAAATTGATACCCCCTGGAAGTACTAACAATTTATTCCTTCCTATTTTTGTTTTCCTACCCTCTTCTCAAATCTTTCAATTTTCCTGTCCGGATTGTCATCATTGACAGTTTAATTTAGCAAAAAGTCAATGTTAATTAGATGTTAACAGCAAGAATTATCTGAATTATAAGAGGGAAAATAAGCATTTAAAATGAACTTATTAAAAAATATATTTCTATTGTCATTTTTATGTGATTCCTTTTTAATTGTTATTTTCAATCATTTTAATTTCATCTGTTATTTTAAGTTTTGCATGTGCTGTTTCAGGATATTTATATGATCTGCTGCTAGACTAATGCTGGACCAACAGAAAAGTATTTTTGTTCGCAATGTTCATGTCATTCATTCAAGTTAATGGATTTAATTTGTAACCGACCAACCCTTCTCCTCTCCATTATGTTACGAGAAATTGCCCAAAAATTTCCGACCTATATTCAGAAATGCTATTTATTATCAGTATTCAATTTAATTTTGAATTCAACTTAAGGAGAAAAAAATCGTTGAAATATAGTTTCTTTCTCAGATTTGATTAATTTGCTAAAAACACTGAAATATTACCTTTTTTTGTATATTTAGTATTTGTTCGACTTCACTTGTCTTTCAAGACGTCAAAGGATTATTCAGCGTAATAGAACTGAAAGATTGAGTGATCTACTTGACTGGAAGAACTTAGGAGTTGTGAGTAGTTTATTCCATTATTCCAATTCAAAATCAGTTGTTTATTTTCTTTTAAAGAAAGTTTTATACCTTTAACTAATTTTGTTATTTGATTTAAAATTTATCAACAAAAAAAATAATGAAATGTTTTCCTTTTTAGTATTATAGACAAGCTAGACAGATGGCTTTACATAAAATGCATCCTGAAGGCACTGATCCTGAAGATGACATGGTATGAAAAGAATATAAAAATTATTTTAATTGTCCTGATATTTCTGACTTTTGTATCCATTCAGAACAGCCTTTTTTCTATAAATACAAATTTTAAAATCGATTTTGAGATCTGAAGAATTTTGGTTTTTCAATCTGTTTTTTATTTTAACTAATAATGCTAGAAAAATCGTTCAGCTCAATAGTTCAAATTTAGGGATTATTCACTCATGATATACATGGCTCAGACAACTAGCCTTACTTAACGAATTCATTGTTTTAAATTGTAGGAATTTCGTCATTATGAAGAAAAAAACTCATTAACAATTTTACATTATAAAATTTTTATGGTGGTGAATTCTGAGTCATATATTTATTTATTATTTTCAGCAAATGTGTGTAATGAATTTTGAATTGTGGTGAATTTTTTTTTATTTCGAAATGAGAACAGATAAATCGGTTGTATTTCTTTCCTTTCTGATGAACAAGAAAAGTATCTATAGAATATAATTCTACAGAAAAAAAAGGAAAAAAATTATTTGCTTTTGAATTTTTTTTCCAGCTATTTTATTGTTTCAACTCTTTCTTTATTCTGTTTTTTAAATTTAAAATCTATAATTATGAAGATGCAGAGTATTACAGTTTTGGTTTTACCTATCATTTCAATTAATGTTATTATAATGCTTTTTTAAATTTATTGTTGCGTTTTTGTCTGAGAAAATAGTAACTTTGTTAAGTAATGAAAAATTCTAGGAATTAGTCATGGAAAATCAGGAAAAGTCATGAATTTGAAAATCTAAAATGTAGCAGATACCTTGGATTTACAGATTCTATAATAATTTACAAAGATTTTAAAATTAATTGAGGAATAATTCTTAGATTGATCTGTTTACTTCAATTGAAAAGTTAAGCTGTTTTTAAAATTAAAAAAACTCTTTTTAATCAAAAATTTTAGATTCTAATTAAAATATATTAAGCAAATTGCTTTTATGAAAAATGCATTTTTTATTTTATATATATTTTGTTTACTATAGTGATTCTTTTAAATAATAATTTTTATTATCGTTAAATATCTAATTTGAGCAATATATTTGTATCAGCTTTCTTTTTTTAAAAATAAACTAAAATAAAAACTTGCAGTATATCTTATATAATTTGTTTCTAATTCTAAAATCGGTTATCGTAAAATCCCAACCGAAAAAGCAGTTTCAAAAATCAAATTTTGTATCTAAATGAACTATGGTTAGGTGATTTTTTTTTAAAACATTTTTCTTAAGAACACTTATTAAGTCATTTATTGTAATATAGATGGTTTCAACTATAAATGGTCCTATGAAATCCTCTTTTTAAATGGTCATCTAAATTCTTCCTTTTAACCAAAAATTATCTCAGCTTACAAAATTCTTGCTCTTCTTTGGCTGAAACATGTTGAGAGTCCTGCTTAAGGGCTGTTCAAATATTATGTAAGCATTTTTTGGTGTTTTTTTTTAGCCCCCTTGTGAACAAACTGCAAAGCTCCCACTCTGCTTATGTAAGACCTTGAGCTTTAGCAATAATAATCTAATTTTAAGAATTTTAATGATTGTATTAATGGAATTTCACTTAACAATTAATTTCTTTGCAATTCTGTTTAATTAAATTTCCGAATCATCATAATTTTTATGAAACGTAGCTTATATTCAAGGTTAAGTAGAATATTGCCTATTGTATTCTAGGAATTTTATTGACTATTCCTTATCTTGAGAAATTATTTGTATTTGAAAGAATTTAGAAAAATAATATTGGACTGAAGAAAATAACTATCAACATTAAAGATTTATTTTTTTTTAATTTATAATGAATTTTTGACAATAGAGGAACTTTATTGTCTTCTATAAGCATTGTTCAGACCTCCACTCTGCTCTTTTCAACAGTTCTTTTAAATTGTTTGCAAACGTTACAAATAGCTTATTAGAAGATCCACTTGTCTCATCTAAATTCTAATCTTCTAAAAGATCTTAATTTATCTTTTAATGGTTCAAAAATAGTACCTCGAATCCATAATTTTTTTCGTTATCTTTTCCTACGTTTTTTTCTTTTTTAATGAATTTTTAGCTATCATTTATACTTTTGAGGATGTTAAAAAATTTCCACGCATTTTTTTAAATGTATAAAAACTAAAATCAACTTCCACGATTGATAAATATTGAGATATCTTGCAATTACAATTTTCCAATGTGGCTTATTTGGATATCATACCCTTTCTGATTTTTGAAAAGGTTAAAGCTCTTAATATTTCCCCACTTAATCTAAGGTTAATATGGTTGATTCAAGTACTAAATTTTCTGACCTATTTATCTATGACTATATAATAGATTGAACCTCTTGTTAAAAGTTGGGGGAAAAAAACTTGTAGTTAATTATTATTACATAAATTTAATACTTTTCTCCCCATGAGCAGCAGTTGCACAATATTGTTAGTTATTAAATTTGCCGCAGACAAATTAATCTTGGTTGTTTTCCAAAAGCATTTTTTCATTCAAATTTTGCGTGCTTTTTCTTTTTTGCAATCACATGCTTAAGTTTAAGTAATCCTGTCAATTTTTCAATTAAGTCAATTTTTCTAGGTCCAACTCTCTCTGCTACTTTGACTTAAATAAACACTTTTTATTAATTTTACCTGGAATTTTAAACCTTATGTAAGACTTTCTTGTTTTTCTAATCAGTAATTTTTGTTTGACTTAATATAGAGAGGTACACTACAAATGAAGTATCCTAGACCTATGTCTGAGCCTCCTTCGCCTACTAGCTCTCGTGCCTCAACTCCAGCTCCATCAGAACATGGAAGTGACGATGAGGAAGATCACTCGTCTGAAGAACACGAACATGAAAGCTGAAAGTTTTATTTACTTATGTCTAAAATTCTGCTGACTTTTAAGAAAGGTAATTGTTTTCACGACTGCTTTATACTTTTTTTTTTTTGACAATTGTGAAAAAAAATCAGATAAGTTCATCCGTTGATTTCTTTTTTGTTCTAATTATACCTGTGATGTAATTCAAAAGGAAACTATTTTTATCATGTTTTGTTGTTAAATATTTATGTCATTAAAAATCATAAATGGTGCTGTTGAAAAAATAATTTTTTTGATTTTAATCTGACGTATTTTGTTAATTAAGAAAAAGCGATATTCTGTTTTTATATATGTTGCATATATATGGCATATTTTCGTCCATCTATAATACTGTCATGTTAATGATACATCAAAAATGCTTATCGGTCAATTGCCAAAATGACAGATTTGTATTTTTAGCAAGATTCTGAGGATGTTTGAATGAAATAAAATTTTGAAAGGTCACTTTTTAAAGCCTCTTGATATAGCTATAATCACTACATTTGATATAATTGTAACACAGACACACTTTGACCATTTTATGTACACAATCTTTACGATTATTATAGATGATTGAGTAAAAAGATGATCCTTAATAAAACAACAATATTTAGTATTGTGCCCTGTAACATTGATGAAATAATAAAACTTTATGTGAAGACATATGCATATTCACATTTGTTTCACTGATTAATTATATTCATTAAATAATATTAACTATGTACTTATAAAATCTTAACAAGATTAGTATCTCAACGATGTTAAAGAGTCAATACTTTTGTCAGTTATAAAGAAATCCTGAATCAATTGATTGAAAAAAATTTAATATAGCTGGGGAAAAAAATCCGAAAATTAATATTTATATTTAATTGATAATAATCATTTCAAATGTGTGACATTTCCAAACTATGTTCTATTGTTTTAATTTTGTCTTTCTGAATTTGCCATATTGTTTACTAAAATGAATTTATTTTGTTTTATGTGCAATGAATTAAAGTGTTGAGTGATAGCAATCATTTTAGGCTACTCAGCAATGTAGTTTACTTGAATGTTAAGACTATCAACTTACATAAATTCTTATTATTTTATTTGTTCAAGTGTATGTGCCATATATGTTTACAAAAATAGCATATTTTTAATAAATTGTATACATTGTAAGTGTCAAAAATAAAGTTTACATTTTGATTTGCATTGTATGTTTTAAATCATGTTTTAATCATATATTTATTAATTTTTGTTCCTCGCTGTGTGTTTAATTTCTAAATTTGCACATTACCCCACCTTCTTTCCAAAAAAAAAAAACATTTTTTTTACACATAGTGCAAAATAAAAAAAAATTAAAAGATAAACATTAACAAGCAAATATAAATCCATGATTTGTGAATTAACTTTAAGAAGAGCAAAAGAATACTTAAAATTCATTGTAAGTTGCCAAAACAATTTGATTAGCATGATGTTTTGTTCTCATTCAAATGAACTACTCTAAGTACTAAATTTAGTATCTAAGAAAATGAATTTTAATTATATTGCAGGAGTATATTATATTGTCATTGTAACGAGTTTGTCGTTATACTTATTTAAAGTTAAAATAGCAATAAAAAATAGAATTTAGTTTTTTACCTCTTTTTCTTTTATTTTAATTTAAAATACATATCAACGGTAGAGTCTACAGATTGTGGACTGAATTACGTAGCTCAGTACTTTTAAGAGGGAGAAAAATGTAAGCAAGGCCTGATCTAAAAATGCGGAAGCTCTAGTCACATAACTGTCACGGGCCCCTTGGTCGTTACTTTTAACTTAATTTACAAGTTTCATTAAAGTGTTTTTAAATTAGTTATAACACAAGTAAAGTGCGATATTAAATTTGAGCTTATATTTATTTCAATTTCTGCTAACTTATAAATCTAATAGGCAATTCTTAAAGAAAAACAGACACACAAAAAAAAAATTTAACATTTAGGAGGCCCCAAGAAAGTGGCAGAGGGTTTAAGGCCTGGGCCACTTAGGCCTTGTGATAAATTCGGCTCTGAATGTATGACAAGGATGTTTGATTAAATATTTCCAAATCGTGGAAGGTTTTTGCAAGAAAAAAAATTTAATGAACTGTAATTGTCAAGAAGGAAAATAAGGGAGCATGAAAGTGATTCGCAATCAACAAAAATTTCATTCTTTTGAAGTGTTGGGCAGGATTTTTAAAAATAGCAGGAAAACTGTTAGCGAGAAGTTAACTTAACCGGTGGTCGTCTAACACAATGCTTTATAAAAATAAGGAAGAGTTATCTTTTTCTCATGTTTTTATCGATACCAGAAATAAAAAATATAATTTTCCAGTTTTTACTTAGAAATATGTAGTTTAGAAGAAAGTTAACTCATAAATTTGATGACATATTTAAGTTTTTCAATTGTTACATATAAAAATGATAAATTTTTACCATTCTTTACATATTGTACAATGTTATAGTGTATTTCTTTATATTTTGGTAATGGAATAAAATCCATGAGGTTTAAATAATTTCTATTTATGTGCCATAAAAAACTGTCAAAAAGGTCCTTCTTATAGTTTTTTCTTGTAATCAAACATTCTAATTACCGAAAGTCAAACAAATTATATTATGTAGACTAGTGTTTTGTGAGGCATACAAGTGGAAATAAATTAATCATTAAATATTTGTCCCAATTATAAAGCTGTACCAAATGATGTGCAATATAAGTTGCCAGGTCTGAAGAGAATAAATAAATTATTTTTATCTGACTCAATACAATGCACTTTAATGATCAATTTAATAATGTTAATAGGTCAACATTTTCGTAATGAATTCAGAATTTATAAAAATATGAATGGAAAATGTATTATACATTTCTAGTAATTTTTACATTAAGCAATAAGAAAAATTTACAGGCTTAATACTTATGTCTAAGAGATCAGAAGTGATTTTCCAATTTCAAATTAAGCTTTAGTCATAATGAATGTTTGTTAGGTAATAAATTTTAAGTACATAGACATAGCATTTTCTGAAGAATGATGGAATCAATAGATGGAAAAATAATTCAGTTTTCTTAATTAAGAAATATGTCATAAAATTCAAACAGTAAAAATAACATTGATGCATTATTGGATATCGTGGAAAATAAATATGGAAATAGTAACCTATTGGACTTGGCATTTGCTGCAATGTTCCGATCCTCAGGTGATAAGAAATTGGGCTCTCTAATGTTATTTTTACTTTCTCAGCCTATCGTCATATCTCTTCAGACTAATTTTATGTATCAAACATTTATTTGCATTCAATTATGAAACCTGTTTTTACAACGATGATTTCATGTATTCAGTACCTTGTGCTGTTAATTATTTCACCATTACAGCTTTCAAATGAAATAGATGAATTTTAAAAAATCTGTGATAATAACTGAACCAACTTTATCTTTTAAGAAATAAAAAGTATTAAAGATTAAAAATAACAAAGCATGTTTTCTCAAAAACTCCAGTACACAATAGAAGTGGTCAATTCTGAGAAATTGGAATTCATCTATTTTATATAAAAATAAAACCAAAATAGAATTGAATTAATTTTTTGGATGCTGCTGCTAATTAGAACGTGTGCAATTAAGAAATAAAAATCGTTCAATTTTTAAAAAATACAAAATATTTATATGGAAAATCCTGAATTTCCAGCATAAACAATTTTTTTGTGCCTCCGAGTCCCTCTTAACAAGGTTTAACTATATAAGATCGAAGCTAAACATAATTTTTATATACAATGAAGTCAATAAAGAAAAAACAAGCATACGAACCAAAAAATGAATTTTTTAGTTCCACAATCCTTTTTCAAAGAGATAGATTACATTTTAACACGAATAAAAAATCAAATCATAAGACACATAACTTTATCCCATTTTATTATAAATATGAGGTACATATTCCTTTAAAAATATAATTAAGACATAGGGAAACTTTTTCCCAGTAAAATTAAAATTTAAAATCAAGTCTCTCCCATTATGTGCTTCAACTTCTTGGCATTCAAACATAAATTCAGCTAAAATTTCTCTCCTAGACTCTGTCTTATTTTTAATTATTTCTTTAGACACCATATGTTCAATTTCCAAAAGTTCACTCTCAGAATTTTGATATTTATGGAAAACCACATCACGTCCTTGCCAAGTATTTCTATAAACTCTACACTGTAGTTTAAGTATCTTACTTGAATTGCTGTCTACACTGAATTCTTTACATTGAAATAATAATCCATGCTCAAAAATACTCCTTAATTTTAAAGCTGCACCTGGTATCACTTTCAGTCTTATCTGATGAGTATGCTTTTCTTGCAATTCTTTTGAGAGTTTAATCTCATTTGTAGGAGGCTTAAGTAGAGAACATAAGCCCCACATTTCTGTTTCTGGTAACCAGTTTTCACTGTCTTGATAAATATCACACACTTGTACTAAACTACTCATAAATTTGACACAATATTTAAAATTTGCTGATGTAGTGGCATTGTACGAGTGACGGAATGGATCTTGGATACTAACAGTACCAAACTATAATGTAATTAAAAAAGATAGTTAGCAAATCATTACTTACAAAACAAATAAGTTGTGACAAATTTGTTACTGTACACTATTTAACCTACTGGCAGTTATGCACGCAAGAAAGTCGAAACATTTTTTTTATCCTTCCAAATGGTTAAACCCTCACTCCATTTTCTACCTACAAAAAGTCCTGCACATAGAAACACACACTTATCTAGAATTAGATAGGTGACTATCTAGATTTAGATAGTGGAAAAATGATCCTTCATACCACAGTTTACTGATTATGGTGGAAGAATCTGCTTGCCACAGTTGTATATTGTGAACATTTGGAAGCAGTAAAAATAAAAATGTCAAAACCACCAGTGGGTTTAAAACGAAAAATTCTATACATACATTTTAAAAACCTCTGCCAAAATGTTTGCAATAATGAAAAAAAATGTCTGTAACCTCTGATATAAGTAGCATGTAAAAAGTAAAATTTTTTGCAATGCTATTTTCAAAAGATAAACGTGTTAACTCATAGACATAATTTTCCATACTCTTGGATCTGACACTGATCTTCAGTAATAATTAGGACTGGGCTATAAATCGATATATCGCGACATATCGATATAACGCCTATATCGGCAGGCCGATACAGCGACTTTCGTTCCAGGCGATGCATCAAAAATCTGATTTAAGCCGTCGAGTAAAGAAGACGAACGCAAAACGATATAGCGATATAAGACACACAAGGACCTTCTCTTACGTTCCGATGCCAACTCGCGCTGTGGAAGACGATATTCGTTTCGTTATGTTGAAACGGCCTTGATTGATGAGCGGTAGAATCAGATTCAGTTTTGAGAACATATATCGTGATCTCGCATGTTCGTTTCCGCACCTCTGAGTTTTTTCTTTGTCGCGACTTTATATCGTTTCTTGTAGATTATTTTCAGTGAGACTGACAACTGACATTATGATCGAAGTCGTTACATTGTTCTGAACGTAATCTATTATTGAAAAGAATATATAAAGAAGTGTTTCTTAATTAATTAGGTAAATTTTTTTTGATACAAAACTCTCTTTTTTATTTTTCAATGTGAAAATTAATTTTGTTATTACATGTTTAAATATTATTTTACATTATTGAATTTATTACAAACGGAAATCTAATTTAAGTTGCCCATAAGGAATTAATTAAAAAGTAATTAAATTTGTTAGGCTATTTTTTATTTTATTTTAATTTATANGAAGAAGTAATAGTTATATAAACTGAACTTAAAGGTTTTTAATTGAAAAAAGCAACTATTTTAAGAAGCCAATTTTTTTAAAAGTTCAATATTTTGAAATAAGGTATAAATTTCTTTTAGAAACATTAAAAAGCCAACATATTATTCTAATTAGATGTTCATTTCATTACATTTATTTATTCAAAGAAATTTTATTTATAAATTCGTTAAAGGCTAAAAATATTTTTTAATTAAATCAATATGAAAGTACTATGTTAGTCAAATAACAGAAATAAAGGTTAATAACATTTAAAAACACACTTTTTATTATTTATTGGAAGAATCTAATAAGAAAATGGATAAAAAAATATATTGAGTAGATTTGGGAAAAAAATTTAGACCGAGTAGTATTTTCTAGAATCCTCATAAAATATGCATAGGTTTTTACCATAATTACAAAGTGCTAATTGCCAAAAATTGAAATGTCATAAAATAGAAATATTTTGGACATTATGAAAATGGATGCTAAAAATACAAAACAATTGAGAAACGTCATAAATTTCAATCACTTTAACAGAATTTTTAAAATCTGAAACGTCTAAAAAATAACCAACAAATTGAAAAATAAATTACAGAAAAACAGATGATAGAAATGTATGGTTTGTTGCATTTCGGAAACTAGAAAATTTAAACTCATGAAGTTAAGAAGTTATTTAACAGATGGCACTGCTGACTGCAAAAAACAATGTTTTCAATGTAACTACAAATTACAGAAACAACATGACACAGTCTGCGGACCCACACAAATTAATATTTTGTGTATATATGTATCGTATTAATATTTTAAGTCAGCAATGACATCTGTTGACAAACTTTGTAATTAATATTGAAACAAAGCAATAAAAAATTTCCACTTTCCTGTGCAGATCATAGTAAACAATATCTTTCTATCTCCTTCCATTTTACATTAATTGATTTTTCAAATTGTTGATCATTTTCTGGACATCTGGTAAGTTTTGTTAAATGAATACTACAACATAAAAAACATTTATCTTTTACGTAAAGAACAATTATCTTTTTTGAGTTGTCTATGTTGTATTGATGTATAAATTGAATTGCATGCATTGATATATAGGTATAAACTTACCATAAAATTATCTCCAGAATTGTCGACAGGCGAAAATTCACTTTTATGAACACTGGAACCAGAATATGGAAGTAATACTCTCTCAAAGTCAAAATTCAGGTAAAAAAAGAAAAAATCCCTCAGTAGTTTTTCTGAAATAAATTAATATTAGTAAACACATTAGAATACACATCACTACAACAAAGTAATAGATAAACAATAACAAAGTTTTACAAAACAAGTATGCCCCACCCCTGCGGAATAAAACTATACATTTAATCAAACAATTTTATGAAATATAAATATGGATAAAGAGAAACAAATGTAATGCAAAAGAAGTAATAATTGGAAAGAACCACATTTCACTATAATTACTGGGGGAAAAAACTTCTGAAGAATTGGGGAAACAACCATAACTATATATTAATAATAAGCATATTTCAATGCAATAGAAAAATAAATGAATTAAATTTACCATCAAATATTTTCATTAAGATTAATCATATTAGTTTATTAATGAAATAGTTCTGAATAACGTACCAGCTGGTGTTGTATTTTCTGAGGGCTTAAAATTTTTCAAATCTTCAATCATCACTGAAACATCTGCCACAGAAGCTGTTTTCAAATAATCTAAAACAAAAATTCAGTATTACAAATTCCAATATATATTTCAAAGAAGAAAAAAAGTAAATTATGTTAATAGCACTTTAAAAACAATGGAATAAACAATTATGTTTTAATCAAGCTAATTGTGCTTATTCGCACTTTCATTGAATTTTCCATTTTTATATCCTATATGGTTATTTACTAGCACAAACTTAAAAAATAATTGCTATATCCTCATTATTTAAATACTTGATTTTTCCCCTGGTAATTGGTATTTTTCTCTTACCTAAATAATTTTTTACATAAGTACCATTGCTTTGTAGAAAGTGCATTAAAAGAAAACATATTTGCTGTAGTATAGTCTTCTAAATTGTGGCAACAGTATTGCATTTTTTAAGGAGTTATTTCTTGTGCATTAATTTCTTACACAATTCACTTAACAAAATTCTAATAGAAAAAAGAATAGCTAATGTCTATGATTTCAATGATAGAATTATCAGTGGATATGGCAATCAATATGCTTTGTGCAAACCATATTAAGTTTTATTAAATGACAACAAAAGTTTCATAATTTCAGTGAATTCAAATCTGTTTTGTTACAACCTCTATCAAGCAATGAAACACCAAAATTGATGTGACAATTGAATAAAGAAACAAAACTACAAATCAGAAAAACCAAAAATAAATCACTTTTGTAAGCTTGACAAACCTACAGTAAAAATGCTTAAACAGTTTAAGTTCGTTTCAACCTCAAATAAAAAAACTTGTTTGTCTTAGCTGATAGCTATTTTTTAAAACAATGTAACTTTATTAAGAAACAAAACTACAAATCAGAAAAACCAAAAATAAATAACTTTTGTAAGCTTGACAACCTAAAGTAAAAATGATATTAAATTTGACAAATTATCCTGGAAGTTAAAAGTCAACAAGAAAGAATTTCAATAACACTAAAAATTTACTTGATTTATCAATGATTTCTTGTAAGGGTGGCAATACTGGAGGGTGCACATTCTGGAGAAAGTAGATAACAAAGAGAGAAAATGCATAACTATTGAATCTATCAATATCACCAACAAAACCACCATATTTCCCCCAATATCGAACCAGCTTTGCCAAAACCACAAATCTTTCATCCAGCTGACATATCAAGCGCAATACTCGTGTGTTACGAAGTGAATTTCTGAAAATTTATATATATGCTTTTTAGAACAGCAAACATAACATATAAGTGATGAAATTAAAATTATAGACAACATTTAAGAACACTTAAGTAGTTTAGTCAATTTGAGTTGGCATATTAATATGCATATCTCATATTTATTTCAACAATATGAAATATAGAGACAGCATTTTGTTTTCAATATATCACAATTTATCCAAAATAAAAAATTAACAATGTTTCCAAAATAAAAAATACAAATAAATTCATTTAAATGTAAACTTTAAATTTCTCTACAAAATAAAGCATAATCTGTATATTTTTGTGTAGTACTAATTCGTAACAGTTTATTTTGATATACAGCACAAAATTATTAAGCAACACAAAATAATTTATGAAATATTTGTGCAAAAACCATAGCTATTTTTTTAATTTAATGTTTAAATTTGAATATAATTAATTAGAAAAAAAATATAATAAATTTAAAAAAATAAGAATCTTTGTTCAAAAATTAAAATTAAAAAAAGATTTAAGTCATGTTTACATAAAATACTTTTCAACTTATCAGTTTATAATTGTAATTCTGAATCCAATCAAGCTTAAGGAAATCATTTATTAAGTTTTATTATTACAGTAAGAACTGTAATAATAAATGCTATATAAATATAATAAAGGAAATTATACGCTTTAAAAAAAAGCTCTTGTTTTAAAAAAATTAGAAATTGGTAAAAAAAAAAGGAAGAAAAGATTAGCCTATTAAAGATTATTCTAGTTTAAAATATTGCAAAAGGGAAATTGGTATAACATAAAGGGTTGCTCGATTAGAACATACTGTTGCAGTTAAAATCAAATAAACAATAAAACTAGCACATCAAAAGCTATAGATTAAAGATTTTGGTCATTATAAATTAATTTTACCAACATCTGACTCTCTAGAAAATATAACCTTTGAGAGAACTACAACATGACTTTTGTCAATTGTCATTCATCCCTTTACAACATGACTTAGCAAAAAAATATTTTTTTATGATCCCATCAGAGTACCATTTTCAAATATGGCACACACATTGCTAATATAAAGTTTAAAATATTATTTTCCCAGAAAAATTCAAAAATTTGATTAAAATTTAAATTGTTTAAAAATTTGATGGTAATTTTTAAAAAAAAAATAATTTTTGAAATAATTTAGCTACATTATAAATTTTATAAAATGCATTAAAAACTGTTTAAAAGGACATAAAACTAGCTCTCTAGATCAATAAGTTTTCAATTCATTAGTCACTTAGAAATTTAAAAACTGCTAAAAATTTGTAAACTTTCTAAATTTTGAAAGTGCTTAACTCAGAAACAAACAGTTTAAAAAAATCTGACACATAGTATTTTTTATCTATTCTATTAGTTCTTCCTATGAGCCTAAATAAATTTAATACAAAGACGCGACATTTTGACCATTGGTTCATAAAGTGTGGAATTACTCTTTAATAATACCCAGCTCTAACAATTATAATTACAGAGAGAGAAAATCAAAATTTTGGAATGACAACACAGCTTCTTATCAAAATATGATCCTTTAAATTAAAAATCTTAATGTGGAGTTGAAACATTAGTTTCAGTATAAAAAATGGTAGCGCTAGACGAAAAGGAAGAAAAGTGCCTTTATAAATTTTTGAAATATCAGCAACTAAGCTCTACTGAACATTTTCTATTAATAATGGAAAGAAAGCATAGTTATTTGTATGCTGTACATTGCTCTCTTCACCTCTGTCTAACAATACGATATTTCATGGTGAATTTTATTGAAAATTTTTTACAGTAAAGATTTGATTGTTTTTCCATATAAAGTAGGCATTGATATTTTAAAATTTCAAAGTTATGTCAATGAAATCGTAACTATTAGAGCTGAATAATCTTTACCTTATGAATGATACCATTATGTATAATTTTATGTTTTCTCAAATGGTATGCTGACCAGGAGGTCATATATCGGCAAAGTTATTTCATAATCACTTTGAATGAGTAACAACATACATAAAAATTCAATCAAAACTTACTCAGATTCACACGAAAAATCACAAAATACATCGTATTTTGCATTATAAAATCGTAGAATAGGGCAACGAGCCTTTATAAACAATATGGGCTCTTTTATATCTGCTGTGCCGTGCCTTCGAAGTATTCGCCTTACAAAACGTAACATATACAAAGGAGTTAAGCGACTTAAAGTTTCTTGAGATACTGATCCATCCAGCACAGAATCAAGAGTAGGTACATCTTTTAGAGTAACATAATTCTATAAGAAATAAAATCATAAAGAAATTGAATGAAAGAAGCTTGATTTTGTTAAAGAATTATTATATATGTACAATAATATATATTCTGTCCTCAACAATTGAAAATTTTAACATTAAGATTCTTTTTTTAGCAGATACATAATAATATAAAACTATAAAATAATATAAATTTATCTTAAAATAAAATACATGATTTATAACATTTTAAAGAGATATCGTAAGTGACAACTGAAACAGATAAATTTTAATGAATTAATATCAAATTGATAAATTTTAAAATACTGAATAACTGTAAAATTTGGTATGAAATGTATTTGGTATGAAATGTAACTTGGTATGAAATGTATCCTTAAAAATAAAACTTAAACTAAAATATTATAGTTCAGTTATATTTTAAAAAATTAATATAAAATATATTTTAGAGTATTTTATAACTTGTAATATTTATTAACGAAGTAAGAGACACAAAATCTACACATCATTTTTAAAAAAATATGTGGCAGATATAAAAGTAAAGGGTGAATAAATTAATCTGAGCGAAAATAATTTTAGAATATGAAAACAGTTTCTCATTTGGAAGATGTCTACTTTAAGATTACATTAATTAATTATTATAACCATACAAAATCTTTTTTATAGTTTACCAAAATAAATTTCATTTTTATGATACAAAAAATAGGATAATATATAGGATAAATATATAGAATAAGCCCCAAGAATCAAACAAGTTAGATACTAAAAAAAGACTGTCTATTTATAAATCTGTCTATTTTTAAATACCTCTTCTTGTATGATATAACACACATCTAATAATGTTTCTATAAATGTCCGGTAAACACTTTTATTACTAATAAATAGTTTTATAATTTCTTCTAAAAGCTATATATTAAATGAATTCATGTTATTTTTCTAAAAAAATTAATATTTTTTCAAGGTAGTAAACCTTCAAGACAGCCACAAAAGGAAAATTGGTAGAGAAAGATTGAAAAAGTAAATAGTTTTTACTAATTCTTATCTATCTACCAATGTATACTTATAAATTAAAGAAAATAAATCCAGTTGTTAAAAGTGAGCAATTTAATTTCTAAAATTAAAATGAAATTCAAACCATTAAAACTTCCAATAGCCTCATGAAATATTTGTCACTACTACTTAATTTTTCTAAATTATGCAATCAATTGGAAAATTTCATAAAGTCTGGTATGCATTAATTAAATTAAAAGGGTTCATGCATTAACTATCTTTGTAAATTTCTTTTCAAAGGAAAGAAATAATTTATTAATCATACTTTCCTTGTTTGAAAATTCAATTTCTTTTTTTATAAAATATTAGACACTTTAAGCCGTTTATCTTCAAGTTCATATATGTTAACTTTGTATTCATCTGAACATCTGTCATTTATTTAAGATAACTGCTTGGAACAAATTATTATTTAAAATTTTTAAAAATTTTTAATGTGTCATTTTAAGTGATACTTTTACGTGTATTAACATTAAAATAATATTTTACGTTATTAATAATCATTCTGTTATGTGCCTAATCCATAATAAACTTTTGTATTGCATTGTCCAAATTAGTAATATCAAGTGGGAGTTAAAAATAAATGGTATTTTCGTGCTCTCATGATATTATGACTTCAAGTTTTAATGTCTGTTCTTCATTTGTTGTTACATCAAGCATCAACTGTATAAAACAATTCAGATATAATTTTTTAGAAAAATTTATTTTACCTCATCATAAAATAGAGTTTGAAGGCATACATCCACATCACAACCTTTGAAGCCAAGGCCATTAACACTTGATCCAAACTGGTGAAGTTTAAAATTAGTAAAATATATTTTAAACATGTCCTCAAGTGATTTGCAAAACAATGTTCTGTTGTCTCTATCTTCATCTGATAAACTCATTAAAGAGCAAAATTTTGCTATCTGGGATGAAACCTAAAATTAAATTAATGTTGCTTTAACACAGTTTGAAATGAAGTCAATATAAGTGTGCTCCTTTCAAGAGCGTGTTACAAATATAAAAGAATTTTAGTTTTTTTGCATTATAGAAATGTTAAAACTTTATGGACATTAATTTTAGGTTATGGATATTTTATGTAATATTTATGGTGTTTCTGGTTAACAGAAACACTAAAAATTACACAAAATATAGAGTGCGACTTTTTCAACAAACTATAATTCTTAATTTACTGACTTAGTCTTCTTTTTCAAGCTAAAATAAATGTAATGTACAATTAATACTTACTGAATTACAATTCTGTAATTCTGCAATTAAATCTGAATGTAAAATTGCATTGCTTCCTTCTTCACAAGCTGATGAGAAATCATCTGAATTAGCTCTCGCCTTTAATTTTACACCTGTTGCTGCAATGGTTTTCCAGCCTTTAATCGTATGAACTTTTAAGACGTCTGGAGATGTTGAAATATTTGATGAAATCTAGAATTTCAATTTATATTTTAAAAGAATTGAACAGATGATGTAGAAATACAGGGAAATATATAAATTTATATTTTAATGTCATATTAAATTCACTCTTTTCTTTGTTAAATCCTACCTTTTCATTAAATAAAATTGAGAAAAACTGATTTCCACAGTAGAAAAAAAAAAACAATTTAGAATTTTAAAAAAAATTTAAGCAATACTACGATGTTTAGAAACTTTCATTGCATACTATTTAAAACTTTATTTCGCAAAAGAAATTAAGTTAGAAAATTATTCTTGTTCTATTTATTTTAGTCCTCAATTAAGAAGGTAGATTTAAGTAACAAGGTAAAACGTATATCGGGTCTCATCTATGAAAAAAAATATATGGTATTCTCAGTCCCCGTGGCAGAATAGCTGTGACACGGCGACATTGTCGCAGAACATTACAGAGCTCTTGCAGAAAGATTATTTTTATTTTGAAAAGCCAAAAAAAAAAAAAAAAATTAGTCATTTTTCTTTTTTATAGAAATTTACACATAATATTAGAATCATGCATTTAGATAATCACTTTTTCACGCTCTAAATTTACGACGATAGTATCGTAAATCGATGTCATGTTTCGATTGTATTTTCGGCAGTTATTGATATTGATTTTCATGCGGATTTTAAATATCCCGATATATTTCAAACAATATGGAAAATTCGAATCGTTCATTTGAGTATTTACTTTTTAAGGCAATAATTCTATAGATTTTATGGCAGTTATTGCTATTGATTTCTCAATAGATTTTAAATCCAATATTTTTATGCGATATTATTTATTACAACAATGTAATCTCAAAACAAAACACGCATTTGAGGAACCCGATTCGCGCAATTTTGCTGTCTATCTTTTTTTCGGCAATTACTACTACGGATTTCATGATTTTTAATTTTATATTTTACTGTGGTAATTATTTACAAAATGCGGAGAAAGAAATAATTTGTGTCCCCCCCCCAGAAAATGCAAGAATATCACACATAATATTAGAATAAAAAATTATTACATGTTTTATTAAAAAAAATTATATAGTTTTACAGCGCTTCTATTACTCTAAATTGGTAACATATATTTTTCTTATTATTAAAAGTATCTTGCAGAAAGATAATAGTGATAGAGAGTTTTGTCGCAGATAGCTTGAAAAAATTCTGCCACAGGGTTCTCAGTTTTCCTTGAAAACATTATTTGGGATGCTGTAATTTTCACTGAGTATGCTAAGACAAAGACGGTTACTGTCACGGAAGTATTCTACGCTTGACTTAATTTCAATAAATAATACTTCATCTTCAATTTTCTAATTACCATTGAGATTTACAGGGGGTGATTGTGAGCCCAAGTCAAAATTCCAGAAAATTTCTTGAGTTCAAAAAAAAAAAAAAAAAAAAAAAAAAAAAAAAAAAAAAAAAAAAAAAAAAAAANTTTTTTCCTTTTTCTCAATATTTCTTAGTTTACTTAAAATATATTTAAAATTTTACACATACCTATGATGACCTGGAGAAGTAATTAAACTTTATAAATATGTCTTTCGTTCTTGAGTTTATGATTATAACAACTATTTACTGATAAAAATAAATATTAATCATGAATATAAGCTTATAAAGTATCTCCTTTACAAACAAAAAAATAAACTGTGTTTTTAAGTTCCACCTTTGAAAATTTGATTTCCGGAAACTTTTGTGATCAATGATTTTTTTAAACATCTAGACCTTCGATCTCCGGAAACTTCCGGATCACTGTTAGCGAAAATTCCGGAAATCCGGATTTTTTCCGGAGCACAATCAGCCCTGGATTCATATTTTGGGCAAATCTGTCTGGAATATTTCCTACTCTTAACTATTTTCCTTTGTTGAACATTTGCTAAAGAATTTGTAACGCAAGAAAGCAACCAAGTTCAAGTTTTCTAAGCTCATAAACATTAGGTAAAACTTTCTGAACAATATAGATTAAGAAATTCGAATACTTAATTATTTAGTATTCAACAGATGAAACAAGAATATTTTATCATAATAAAACAAATTACTTACAGAATATCAGAATGAAAATTGTGATATGAATACAGAATTTTATGCTTCTATAAAAATGATCTGTTATTTTCTCAACAGGAAAGATAAAAATACACATCAAAAAGTATAAATATTAATTGTTCAAAGAAATATGTGTAACTTACACTTTAAGGTGACATTTCCTTATCGCTATCTGTTTGCGTAAAGGTGCCAAAAAAATTTCAAACTCGCAAAAAATTCTTCTTTTTTAAAAAGAAGTAGAGGGGGATATTTCCATATCATAATCTGTTGCGCCAACTACTATGGACAAGGTGCCAAATAGATTTTAAACTTGCATATTTAAAAAAAAAACATGTACATGTTTGCCTGGGGGTGGCTGTGAGTTATACCTTTCGAGTTGGTCCCCTTTCGTGAAGTTTTCTTTCTTTTTTTCTTTTTTTTTTTAGTTTCTCGCCTGCCACTGCCTGGAAGTTGCCAAGACTTGGCGATTATTCCGCCTCTGTTCACGATACGGAAATCTCCCCAAGTAGATATTTTTTAAGCTTAATAGTTATAACTCAACTTTTAAGTTGGTCTCTTTTTTAATTTAATTTCCTACACGCCACTGCCTGGACGTGCTTAGCGAAGATACCGATACGGAAACTTTAATCAGTAGAACAAAATATACCTCAAAATTTACAATACCTGAAGAAATGGTCGATGCATTTTCCTTTCAATATGGGGATTGTTCTGACACAAAATAGCATAACTTCCAAATATTCTGCCATGCCCAACATGATTACAAAAAGATGTTAATGCAGATTTATATTTCATAGTATGAATCATGATGAATAAAATATTTAAATTAAACTAAATATTTATTGAAAGTGCACACAATGATTGTAAGGATTAGGATGAATAAGTTATACCGTAAAACTTAACATTTTTGACACGCAAGAGCACATGCCCTAAACATACATAACACATCATTTACTCATTGCATATGGATTCTATCATCTTATTTCATATTATATTCATGATATTTTTCTAACTCTTCGGAAAAGGCTAGTAAATTCAACTTAAACGAAGTTGCATAAGCTCTGCTAACATATTAAAATCAAAACATCAATAACGACTAACAACTGGAGATTTCTTAAAATGTTATTTCATTTGAACAGGTTTGTACGCTTTAATCTAAACTACTTATAGGCTTCTACAGCTTCTAAGTGCCATCTAGCGGCAATTTAGAAATACTGTTAGTAAGGTAAGACTTACATTCTCAATATTTTTTTTTTCTTTTGTCAAAATAGGTCGAAAATTTTTGGGCTTTCTAATTACACATTTCAAATTTATTTAAATATGTTTTAAAGCTGAAATATACAAAAAAAAGTTTCTCGATCATTAATCGTTAAATTAGTCGTTGGGAAATAATTTTACAAAAGCATAACTTTAAAAATTAATCATTGCTAAATTATAATTTCTTTTACGAAATACAAAGACAAAACATATATACTAATAAAAATAGACAAAATACTTACAAAAAAAATTTAAATTACGTGTAGTATGATGAACATCGGAACAAAACTCGATTCGAACCGATTGGTTATGCCTAACTCGATTGGTTATGCCTAACCTCGCAAAATTCGCGTTTCTTTGCAAAATGATTAGCCAGTTTCAGTCTTTTTTTCTAAAAACATGCTTTATTTGGTAGAAATATGAATAGCAACCGCCATCTTTTAAGTCATATCAGATCATTGGGCAATCAAATATCATAGAAAAACCGAAATAAACCATTAACGGTAAAAGTGTGGGTCGCACATTTAAATAGACAGAAAAATATATCCCTGTAGAAATGGCTGTTTGCGCAAATTTTGCTATTTCTGCGTTGCTTGTGGAAATCGTGGGATACCCAGCGAGAAAGTTAAATGTATCTGGTATTAGTTATATCAGTACAAGTTATATCCTTTATTAATATACGAAATATTTATTCATCTCTCATTCGTAAATATTAATTATAAGTTTTTGTAATGTTTACATAACTCGTTTATTTCAATCTGAGTCAGTTTAAAGTTTTCTTCGCTTGAAAAGAAATTTTTCGTATTTATCGAAATATTTTGAAACTAATTCTCTACATAGAATAATATTTTGACTGAATAATTATTCACTGGGATAATTTTAGTTTCAGAAATTTTAACTTTAAAGACAAAGAATTAATATAATTTTTTTTAAACAGATTATTTTGTTTATTAAAATTTCTAATATATTTCAATTAATCTTTCAAAATCATTTTAAATATTTTATACTAGCACTATACTGACCAATGAATTTCCTAAACAATTAAAGAGTTATTTTATGAAAAAATATTTATTAAAAGAATATTTTCCCTACCTTCAAAACTCAAACAAAAACATCTATTGTTAAAAAAATAGTTTTAATTAGTTTCTTTATGTAATAATAAAATAAATATAATTTTGTATTTGCAACCTCAGAAAATAACTTAGCTAATAATAAAATTACTTGTAATTAATATATGTGAAGAATTTACTGCTTTGTTTTACTTGGTAAAATACTAGAGACTGATATATTAAACAAGATGCACTAACTTTCAAACTAACTGGTGGGTAAACTTCACACTATTTCTACAAGAGTAAAGAGCAACTACTAAGCAAAATGATGAAAATTCTAGTAATAGCAAGAATCTCTGCCCTTTTTCCTAGAAAGGGAAAGGTGCTTCCTCACCGCTGGGTGTTTTTTTTTTTTTTTTTTTTTTTTTACGCGTATATGAAATGGACGAACAAAAGTTCAAGTGTAGGACAGTTCCAATGTTCTGAAAAGAAAGTAACTCTAGTTTAATGGTTCCCTGAATGAGAGTTTTGTGAAGTAAATTGTTAATCTCTCAAAACTAATATAATTTTATTGCTATGCTACATCTTTTTGTCAGTTAAATAGAGCTATCAGATAAAACCAGTTCTACGGTTTGAGATTACAAAATACTTAAAATCCATCGAAGGTTGGATACAATACAGTGTCACAACTGTAAAAATTATTTGTTACCATAAATAAATATTTCAGTATGAAAAAAAGTATTTTTTCATTATTTCTATATATGTACAGTCCGCAAAAAAAAAAACGAATCACCCTGAATAACTTTCGTTCTAATGATCGGATTTTCACGAACTAAGTGTCAATCTTAATGGTTCCTGGGGGTGACCTCAAATATG